TGGGGAAACCAATCATACTCTTCCTTCTACCCTGGAACCCCTAACACCTAACATTGCATAAACTAAGAATTGTTGCACTACTCTCATATAATTTTAGTTCTGAGGATTGCAAAGTATCTGCAGTTAGCTTAAACTAATAAGACAGAGGTTGGGTGGCCCCAGAGTTGGTTTGTGTGTGGGCTGGGGCAGTGTAAGGGTGGAAATATTCTGCAGTGCTTTGCCCCCACTCCCGGGCAAGAGGTCTCTCCCTTCCAACGTGCACCTACATATTTCATGTCCAGTGCTGCTCATTGCTTGTCTCCCACATCCCAGAAGCACACTGAAAAAGGTGAATCGGGCGTGCTCTTAAGGGAAGAAACCCGTTGCCAGCACAACAGAGGGTTGTGTGAATGCAGCAGGATCCTCTGCTTGCATTCCTCCCTGCTGGTCTCTGGAGTGCCGGAGAATCACCGGAAGATTGGGATACAGGATCCAATATCACGAGTGCCAGGCAGCTGCCCATTGCCAGGTATTTTTTGCCAGCTTCAGTGAGCTTCTGCCAATGAAGTGAAGGAGTTCTACTGTGATGTGATATTGAAAGAGTCCTTAGACTGTGTCAGGGCACAATCCTATGCATGTGTTGTTAGAAAAAATCCTACAGCGGCCAGTATGCCCTAGTATACCTCTGTAGAGTGTGGCTGCATTCATACTGCTCGACAAGCCACCCTGCATGGTTCCCATGCTTTGCAGTTTTCTGCCAGGACCTACCTGACAGACAATCAAGTGGTTTCTATTTTATCATGGTTTCCAAACTCCCTGCTTATTCTCTGCACCATTGGCATGTGTCCCATCAGCCGCTGAAGCTGCAATTCAAGCCCAAGGTGCATCACTCCCTGCCTGTGTCACCTGCCTGTTCCTCATTGGTCTACACATAGAGGCTAGATGGCTAGAGCAGCTCCTGTAGTCACCACTCTTTCCAGCAGACTCTGTGGTAGTTGCATACCTGCACTGTGGAAAACATGATCCAGGGTCAAACAGCACAACAAACTGTGCTGGCACAGAGAAACTATAGAACAAACTCTTGTTTCTTCTCATGATTTCTAAAGACCAAACTTACCATGATGAAATACAGCATTATGCATGGTATAGACAACAGCATAGACCAGTCATAGCAAGGAGACACCGTGGCTTATTATTGTGCTGTCTGAACCCAGCCAATGCAAAGGTAGCCATGAATGGTGCAAATTCTGAACTAAGTTGAGAACAACTTCGATGTTGTGAGCCGCCCCGAGGCTTCGGCAAGGGGCGGCATAGAAATGTTTTAATTAATTAATTAATTAATTAGTTAATTAATAAGTCCTGTGCACCTTTAGACTGACTGGCTGGAGCATGCTAGGCATTGTAGGACTGCTTTCCATCTAAACATACAGATCGGTGTAGCCTAAAATATTATTTGCTGAATCTGTAGAAGCCTTAGGTGCATTTCAGTTCCTACTGTACTGTAGCACACAAGGTTTTGGATGGTGGAGCAGTGCCCTCTTTATTATTTTTTTACCATAATAAAGCGGTGTAAACAAATGGACTGGCTCACTGCTTAGTAGTGCTTCAAATTAGTGCATGTGTTGACAGCTGGGTCATAGCAGACAGGCTTAGACTCATTGCAATCAAAAGACACATCACAAATACCATTAGCAGTTCCTTTTCATTCTAACAGCTTTAGGAGAGGCTAAAAGCCATCAGGAGTGTGGCTTCAGGATAAATTCCTTGGGGGAAACATCTTCCCAGTTGAGTCCTTCCCTACAAATTTGCATTGGCGTTACTCCAATGAAGCTCTCATGACTTCCACTAGATAATTCTAGGAACTGTGGGGGTTTTTAGGACACTGTGCTAAATATTCCTAGCTCTCCCTCCCAGAACTACTGTTCTCAGCTCTGAGGGAAGCAAATGAATATTATATTAGCTTGTCTGTCTGTATTATGAATGTTCACTAAGGGCTGCTAAGAAGACAAAATTATGTTTCCAAAGAGCATAATGGTCCTGCTCAGGCTTGACAGTCTCAGTCCAATAACCAGAACTAGGCAAATCTCAATCTATTGGGGAATTATTTGCAACAGATATGCAGGGATCTCTGATTCCCAATGATGGAACGGAGTAATTAGTCATTGCACACCCAAAATTGTACTGCTGATACAAAGAAACACGTGGTAAGCTGGAGTGGCTTTCTTGTGTGGAAGGGTTGTGATCTCAGTCAAGTTCTGCTATTCCAAACAAATGGTTGGGCTCAAAATGTTTTAAATCCTAGTGACAATGCACATGGCTTGTCAAATACGTAGAATGCTTCTGAACCTCACTTTCTTGCACACTCTAAAGCAAGTCCTGCCCCTTGCAAAAACAAACAATCAAATGGTGCTACTGAAGGCCTTCCCTATACTTTTTTTATCTATGTGCAGCAGTGGGGTGGGGGATTTTCAGAAACAAGTGCCTAGGTAGAAGGTTTAAACCAAGGATGTTGAGCCTCTTTCAAATCAAGAACTGAATTTCATGTTGAAGAAGCTCTTGTGTTATAGTGGTGGGCAGGGTTGAAGTAAAAGAGGTGGAGCCAGCATACAAAGGATAACATTACCTTTTAATGCATCTGAGGGCTTCAACAGCCCTGGTTTAAGCCTCCCCTATTTGCATGTGGTTATCCTAATCCAGATCAGGGCCCTGTAAGAATGCAAGCAAGGGTCCCCTGCATGCTACTTATTTAACACTTATTAATACATATCTTGAACTTTTAACTCTCACTTGAGAGTCCTTTGCACCAGGTTCCACTTGGTGGATCTCAGGGTTTTGGTAAACCTTGTTGTTATACTACATTTCTACCCCACCTTTCTTTCCCTGGAAAGGAGCCCAAGACAGCTTATGATATTCTCCGCCTCTTCGTTTTATCAGCACAACAATACAAAAATAACCCCGTGAGGTAGGTCAGCAACTGCCCCAAAGTATCCAGTGAGCTTAATGGCCAAGTGGGAACTAGAACTGAGACCTCATGAGTCCCAGTTCAAAAATTTTAACCATTTTGTCAGACTGTTGTGTACTGTTAAAGCAGTTCCCTTATGCTACCATAATAGGTGATACCAGCAAAGATCTGCAGGAGCATTTCTTTGTGGGTATGGAAAAACAAGCTCCATGCCTCTTTCACCACCTAGTTGCTTCTGTATGAGCTTTCTTCATGGAAAACACTCATAAAACACTGAAGAGGTGCAGGGTGGTTTGGTAATCAAATTGGTAATTAAATTTGTTGGTAACATTGATGCAAGTATTACTCATTAGAAAACAATTACATTTAATGATATTTCCAGTGATATTCAAAGGGCATATTTAAGTTGCAGGTGTACATAGTTGCAGAAGGAATTCTTTCACCTAAGAGGTCAGACTGAACCGGCACTAGAAGATGTATGACTGGTCTCCGTCGTTTGTCCTTTTGTTGAAGGCAGGGAGGCTGAATTAGACTGGAGTGAAGTGTCAAGGGATGAGGGATGGGGTGTTTAATCAAAATCTCGCCAACTTAAGCTGCTGCCTGCCCCTCAGGGAAAATAGCAGTTTAAATAAGAGCGAAGTTGCTTTCATCAGAGAAAATGGCACAGGGAAAAGTGCTAAAATCCCCTCATCCATCTCCCATTCCCCAATCAAGCATGTCATGTATCGTTTGAGCGAAGGCAAGGGATGTTTTTTCTACGTAGAGGACTTGTGTGACTATGCAGGCTCAAGTGGAAAATTCTCAGCACAGACTCCAGTCCCTGAGATTTTCTGAAAGGAAGCCATCACAGCTAAACTGGTTTGTGAGCATGCTGTGAACCGATAGGCACTAAATGCTATCTGAAGGCTCACTTTCATAGATTTTGCTCCCAGAATCTTCCCGCTCTTGCTACTATCCAAGTTAATGCATTCAACTAAATCAAAAGAAGAATTATTGAAGAAAGCTTTTTTGTGCTTTTATACTACTGGATAGAACATGACTAAAATTTAGATATGAAATAGAAACTCAGATGTTGCAGCAGCCAAGGCAGAGCTACTTTGAAGCAAGAGGGAGATATCAGCATATTTGGGGAAAACCTTGCTGGCCAAAATCATAAGCATCCTAATGAGGACTGAACATGTTCACTGAATGCTAAGAGTTTGTTGTGGGAGGGAACAGATAGGAAGGAGGCAAAAGGGGTGGGGAGCAGAGATCCTGAACAAGGCATGTCAGGCTGGGACACAGGAGAAAGCATTTCACTGTCCCACCAGCACTGATATACATTGTGCAAATCCATCGTTACATTTGAAGTTACATTTCCCTGTTTTCTGTTTTCTTTCCCTTTTTAAGAATCAAAAGATTTGGGCACAGAATTTTATCTATCTTTATGAATTAGGCCACCTGACCAGTGGTACCTTTGGCAATAAAGTATTTTTTTTCCTGTCAACTACATGAAACTAATAATAGTGCCTAATGAGAAATTGTTTATATGAGCAGACAGTGGTACAAAGGAAAGCAGCTTCTCCCTGTTCTCCCTTGTTTAAAGTACTTCACCAATACTAAATGTGGTGGTGATGGTAACATACAAAAGCTTTGGCTTGTTTTAAACAACCAATAAGAATGAATATTGTTTCTGGATTTCAGAATATAACACCACGTGCAGACTGAGAACAGTGTGGATTGTGTACGGTGCTTGATTGCAGATGCTTCCATGATCAAATCCACTAAGCTGCATTCCACGTGTATTGTTTTCTTTACTGCTGACCTGGGGATTGGCCTGCTCTCATCCTAAAATACTTGCTCACCCTCACAAGGATCAGCCCGTCAGGATATTGCTTCCTATTGAAGATGCAGCTTCTCTGTTTCTTTTCCATGTGTATTCATAATTTAAAGGAACTGCTGGATTGCCCTGGCTGCACCTGATCTGCACAGCCTCTCTGGTTCTGTGTCTGCCAGTGCTTATGCTGTACCATCTTTCATTTTAATGCCCACTTCCCACACATGTGTTCTCTCATTTCAGCTCCACATTTATGCTGGGATTTTACTTGACCTGTTTTGTGATCCTGACGACAGTAGTGTTTGTTTCTGTCATTTACTCCTGCGTAAAGGTGAGTTATAATAAGCTAAAGAGCTTTGCTTTGGATGTGAAATTTAGATAAAGTTTAGATTATCCAGCCAGTTTTTAGGCTGACAAATCCTCTTGCTGCTGCTGCTGCTGTGCTTGCTGTTATTTATTTCAATTAATGACTGCTTACAGGATGGCAAAGAAACAGTTTGAATGCCCATTGAACTGCACAAGGTTTCCAACAGATATTTCTGTGCAGAGTAAATACTGGGTTTCTTGGTAGCACTATTAGTAAGTTGAATGGTACATTGATCTTTAAAATGAATCAAAATAAAGTTTATTGGGCAGAAATAGAACTCTTGTAACTCACCATTAAAATAATGAAAGAAAATTAAATGTCAGTCTTACACTCTTCTCCAAGTTTGGCCAATTCTATCCTTCAGCCAATTTATCCTGTGCCCATGCCAACTCCATGCAAACATCTCACAGACAATATCCCCATATATGTTTTCTATGCATGTATACTTTTTATCTTTGCATACTTTTAGATCTTGACAGTCTAATAAAATCTACAGTCTGGCTTTCTTCAGACTTTTATCTCTACTTTACATTTGCATATCTCTTTTCCTCTAAGGAGATCTCTGCAACATGCATGGGTTTATGATAGGCTGTGTATTCCCGTAATTATGCAGATCAGACATTCCTTTCAAAGCACAACTTAAGGGGTCTTTAAGCCCCCCCCCATGCCCCATGTGGGCAGCACAAGAGGCCCTGTCACAGGTTTTCCCTTATGCATCTTGGGAACAAATGATATTATAAACATTGTATAAACATTATACAAATAGTTTGGTGTTGTGTGTTTCTTTGTTTAAAGCCTCTCTAGACAGCAGCCACAAGAGCCCCTGATCAGGGTCAGGCTTGTGACATACTTGCAGGGAAATGTTAAACTTTTTCCCATGCTTGGCCCCAGTGAAATGTGCCTGTTCCCCAAAGTTACTATTTGGTATGGAAAAAAGAATGGCTTCTCACAGCCAGCAAATTTAGAAATGGGAGGTCTCTTCATGATAGTCAGAGCCACACCTCAAAGCCACCCCATCAAACAACACCCCCCAAACCACACCTATTTCCATGCGATAATTCAACAATGAAAATGAACTTTGTCACTTAGTCTGAATTTCTGTTGAGTAGTGGATGCAAGGCGGGGGTATCTGTGCCTGAGGGGAAGCAGTGGTCGCTTCTAGAAGTTGCACCCTTGCGCACAACAGTGGCAGCTTCTTCTCTGTGCCAAACAGCTGAAGGAAGGGGATTCCTTCAGCTGGGCTTCTGTGCGTAGGCTTTCATTCTCACAAGAGGGCTCTTCCGTGGTTTCCTCCTTCCTGCCCACTTGGTTCAGATCATACTCCTCAACAGCTGCTACTTAAAGGCAAAGGAATATCTGTGGCATCCGTTATACCTTTCAGATCCCGAAATGTCATTTTAATTGTTAATAGTATTTATTCATTTTATTCTTTGGCCAGGGCGATTTAATTTATACTGTTAATTTATATTATTCTATGGAAGTTTATTTATGGATGTGAGCTGCCCTGAGGCTTCGGCGAATGGGGCGGCATAGAAGTCTCCTAAATAAATAAATAAACCCATTGCATAGTATGCTGACAGCCATACGTCACATTTAGTTTGGGTCTCAACAGTCCTCCCTGGTGTTTGCAGGGGAGTAAGCTTTGCCTGTTTCTTGGCTTGCTTGGGAGAAAATGGATAAGCTGCCTAATAAGTGGGAGAGTTCCTGAGGTCAGACGCAATCCTTGGGCCAGAGGAGAGCCTTGAGAGGCCATATTGGCCATTCAGATGTCCAGTTCTATGTTCCTTTCATAGACATTCAGAACGTCAGTGTTTGAGGAAAACACACAAAGGCATTTTGGCAGCTTTTCCTATCACTGGAGTTTATAAACTATTCATCCACATCTGCATGACAGCTGCCTTAAATGTGCATTTCCTTCCTCAAAGTCCCACGGAGCTTTCACAGGCATTGGTTTTTTCTTGATATATTTCCTTTCAATCTGTTCTGTGTCTGTGTGTGTGTATATATAGAGTAGATTCATTGCCAAGGTGGAATCAATGCCCTAAAAGACCGTAGATTTCTTTTGGCTTAATCCAGATCTGTGGGTTTGTTTTACAAAGAATAAATTATGTCACTGAGTCATGAAAAGGCATTTCCCTGTTTCTCTGATGAGCAGGGAAGAACCAGTTGATGAAGTGAAAGTGGCACGAACCTTGGGGCGAGTAAACATGTCATCTTGGAATTTGATAGCAAAGGCAATGGAAGTGGAACACAGTTGGACATGGACCCGGACTTTAGGAAAGCCAGTTTCAAAAAGCCCAGGGAGATGTTGGGCAGGCTAGAAAATTCTGAAAGGAAGTGGGAGACTGCAGTTCAAGAAGGATGGGAAATCCTGAAAAATGAGCTGAGAGCTTAACTGTAAACTCTTCCCATGAGAAGGAAAAGTGGGAGCCATTGAAAGGAGCTAGCGTGACCGCACACAGGGTTTTCTGATGAGCTGAGACTTGGAAGGGGCATGTATAGAGTATAGAAGGAGGGGCATAAAAGCAAGGATCACTATAACAAAGCAGCCAGAACCTGTGAAGACCATGTCAGGAAGGCTTAGCATATCTCAGTTTCACCAAAACACTTGATGAGGTGGTAAAATGTGTGTTGGATGCTTGTACTGTTAGGTGGATCCACAGATGTGTAGACGAGTTTATGGTTAATTTTCCAGATTAATGGCTCTGCATCAAGTGGAGGACATGCTACATGGCTCTGTCCTAAGCCTGTGTCATTCCAGATCACTATACATTACTTGGATAAAAGCGTACTGGGAAGCTTAGCAAGTTGCAAATGACACAAAGCTGGGTGACCACAAATTCAACACCACAGAAAGCAGAAGCAAGTTTCAAAAGGGCCTTGACGGCAAAATACAGAAATGAAATCAGCAGGGTGAGCTTCAGTAGAGTGGAATCTATAGCCTTATGTGTAGGCACAAAAAAGATCAAAGGCACAAGAACAGGATGGAGAACATGGCTTAGCCACAGTACATGTGGAAAGATTTTAATGCATTGCACAAAAAAGGTGTTTTAGTGGATTGCACACTGAACATGAGCCAGCACCTAAAGCAATCTTAGACTGCCTCAACAGAAGTGTAGCACCCAACTCACTGGCAGTAATGTTCTTCTCCTGGGTCACTGTGCATCATCCATAAAGGTTCTGTACCTGCCTGAAGCCTTTCTTCCAAGAGGAATTGCGGGCCCAGAACCTATATGTGTGAATGCACAGACAACCACTAGAAGAACTACAGTTGCAGACACAAAAGCTCTCTTTCTGCTCTTCTCTGTGCTGGGCAGGCCACATCTGGAGCAGTTTGTCCAGTTGGGAATGCCATGCTTTAGTAAAACCTGACACAGACAACCAAGGATGGGCCTGGGAATTTTTTTTCCAATTTTTTAATTATTTTCTCTACAAATCTAACACTAAAACAACAATTATTCAAGGCATCGGACATACTGGGTTGACATCTTTTTACAATCAATAACCATATTCAATTCTATGCATAGTCCTGTTTCTCTAACCAAGAATAGAGAGTTCCAAGTTTGATAGATGTATCTTCCTTCTTCTTCAAAGACAAGGTCAGTCTGTCCATCTCCACACAATCCAAAATCTTTTTTAAAATCAACTCTTCAGTGGGTGGCTCTTCACTCCTCCAGTATTGGGCAAATGCAATCCTCGCTGCAGTAATTACATGTAAAATCAGATATATAACTTGTTTATCAAAGTCATCAGGAATAATGCCTAATAGAAAAACTTAAGGTTTAATGTTAATGGTTTTTGTAGCATTTCCTCAAGCCATTTGTGTATTTTAACTGGGCCTGGGAATTGATTCCCATGAGGAACAGGGCTAGTGAGGTTTCCGCCAGTTTCACTATTTCCAGTGAGACTGGTTGTGTCCTATTTATGATTCATTTTGCATTTTCATTCTTCACAGAAATTAATATTGTGTGCATTTCTCCTAATGCACACATTTCATTATACAGTGGATGGAAATGGTACAGAAAGGGGCTTGGGCTAAATGTTAGGAGAAATTTTCTAATGGCAAGAGCAGCTCAACAGTGGAATAGGAGGCTGCCCTGGATGCTTGCAATATTTGCTTTCAATATTTAATCAGAGGATTGGTGGCCACCTGCCAAGGATGTTGCCTGCATCCCACATTAAGCAGAGGGGTGGACTAGCTGGCCTTCCGATGTGTTTCCATTTGGTTCTGTGTTTCAGTCAGAATCTCCTTTGCATATTGCATTAATTTTAATTAAATAGTCATTCAATTAAGGTTATCAGTAGGTCCTCTCATATCTTCTGCTTCTGCCCCTGAGAGGCTTCTCTGCAAAGGTTGTTTTTTTAATTATCAGAGAATTGGAGTCACAGGAGCTGTACAGCAGGAGCTCCACATCCACCAAGAAACTGTCTGAGATTTCTTCCCTCATGCCCAGATTTCTGGACTGGTCCAAAGTTCCAAGGATGCCAGCATTGGGGTGGGGGGGGGGGGTGAGGTTGAAGCTCTTCTGCCCCTACATAAGCCTTGGGAGAGCAATTTCAACCAACCTTTTATGTTGGGAAGAAAACTTCACAAAAGGCCAGGAACCACCAAACAGCTGATGGCCAAGGAAAGAGTGCAGGGTCAGAAGAAGGGAATGTGGCCTGCTAGGGACCACAGAAGGGCCAGATTGGGGTCCTGAACCTGAGGTTCCACATCCATGATATAAAACGTCAACAAAACTTGAAGTGTTCTTTTATTTCCTTTTGAGGGTGAAAAAATCATCTAAGCAGAAAAGTGCTACTGGGGCTGCTAATGCCTAATGAAATATCCGATGACAAACCCTGCACTCAAGATTATGACCTTTACGTTGCCTTGCCTTGTTGACTTCAGTGCTTAGCCTCCGAATGATTACCTGAGTAGCCAAGTATTTTATTGTAGGCTGCTGACAGTCCTGACCTTTCTGTTGACCCACTTGGACTCTGCGCTTTTGTGTTTCTGAGATGAGATGTTAGTTGTAAGAACTTGGCTTCCATTTCAAACTTAGCTTCCATAGTCCTTTTTGTAAACTGAAGATACAGTAAAAGCGAAACTGCCCACCAAAAGGATAACCAGGTTTTCGATTCGAGATATGCTTTGTTTTACCTAGTCTGAAGAGGGAAATCAGTAGGCAGGTGACCCATTCAACCCCATCATTCTCAGGTCCAGTTGGTGGCCATGCTGATGTGATCTCTGATACTGAAAAGAACAGTTTGCTTGAATGTAAGAATTTGGAATCTTGCTTTGATTCCTTCTCTGCTGACTTAGTTATTTTGTTTTCTCCCTTCTGGATGATTTGGATTTAAAATGTTATTAAAGGTGTACCACTCAGGTTGCTGTAACTTTAGGCATGTTTTATGAGCTTCATTGCTTACTACTTTCATGTCCCTACTCCTTTCATTTCTGTACTAACCAGTTTATAAGACTGTGTCTCTATTAAAAGTTATGAATTTTTTCATTTATAAATTATTTTCCTTGTGAGAGAGCTCTGAGTAAGGATGGAGCCAGACTCTGGTTCCAGGACAGAGTCAGAACAGCATCAGAGGGTGAATCTGGGAACATCTGGATTTTATACCTCACTGAATATTGAGCACCCAATAATAAAATCTTAGAGTTGGAAGGGAACTTGGAGCTCTTCTATTTCAACTCTAGCTCAATGAAAGACCTTCTGTTCAGGATGCAACCACAGCATCTTTGACAGGTGGCTGTCCAGGCTGTGCTTAAATATGTCCAGTACAGGAGAAATCACCACCTCCTGGAGCAGTTTTTCCCACTGTTGAGCTTCCCACCAGTAGGATGCTTCTCCTGATGTTTAGCCAAAAACTCCTTCCTTCCATTCCCCCTCCATTGGTCTTACCCTCTGAAGCAACAGAGAACAATTGTGTCTCTTAAGACCCACGAAGACTGCTGACATGTCTTCCCTTAACCTTTTCTTTGGTAGGTTAAGCATAACCCGTTTGCTTCACAACTCAGCTCATCCCTGTGCAACTACCCTGGCTGCTTTGGGTGTCTCCATTTTTTTTCTTCTTATGGGTATGCTGTGTGATTGTGAAACGTTGAGAACTTGCAAGGATCAGGATATGTTATCTGTCCAGAAGACATCAATCACTAAGAATCCCAAAAATGCAATTATTCAGTTCTTGACTTATTTCAGAGCTTAATGAAAGCTTGATTAGACAAACACTCCATACAGTGTCCTGAAACCTTTTGATCAGGCAGAGATGGCAGGAGAATCCTGTTCAGAAAAGTGTGCATAATCACAAATTTGTCCTTGTCAGTGTAGAATAGGATGATACACCACTGTGATTCATCTGTAGCCGCAAAAGCTGTTATTCTAACATGCCTAATTTAACCTCCTGCAAGGAAATTGCCAGGTTTGTTTTATTATCTTAGAGCATTTTGCTCTCTTTTATTACACTGTCGTCACCCTCGGGAGTGGCCAAGATGTGGTCTGCAGACCACATGCTTTTTTGTGGCATCCACTGCCCCGCAAAAGAAGCAGAGGATTGCTGCTGACATTCTGCAGGGCTGCAGTAGCAAAACTTTGCTGGAAAAGGTCTTGCACAGGGAAGCACTAAAGGAAAATGGTGCTTTTTGGCTGCTAGGCCACTGAATTAAGCCAGCCAAGCTACAACCATTTCAGTCACGATGGAGAGGGCTGTGACCCCCTGTGGGTTGCAGGTGGGCCCTTGGACCTGCTGAGCTTGCCCACCCTGATCTAGCTTTATCCCTTCCATTTTCCTTGATGGGAGGAGACAAGCGGGCATTTTTGTGCCAGATGCAGGTAAAAGCAGCAGCTTAAAGACACTCTGCATTGCTGCAGGTTTTTTCTCTCTCTTTTTCTAACAGGCACCAGAAAATCAACCCTCTTGTCATCAAACGGTTTCATAATTATGCTTGTGTAGGAAGCAAAATATGGTCCCTCTAACTGTGCAAGAAGAAAGGGAAGCAAGAAAGGAGAGGCAGAGTGGTTAGTCATTGCTAAGAAGCAATATGCAAGTCATTTCTTACTGTCTTTTTAAAAAATAAAGCAACAATCTAGGAGCCGAGTTGGTACAGTAATAATGATGGGTTTCAGAGTTGCTATTTCTCTGTTTTGGATTTGTCTCTAGGAATGGAATTGGGTAGCGCTATGATGAGGTGAATTAACACGCAACAGGGAAGCTTTTACATTCTAAAGAATTCCAACATTTTAATTTTACACTAAAAGCATCTTTCTGATTTCTCCCTGAATTTGTGGCATTTAAAATGTGGGTGGGAGATTTGAAGTTTCAGTAGATTTTCCACCAAAAAAGCCTGGTGAAAAAACTGTGCAGGGGAAGAACAGAAGAAAGGCTCATTCGCCTAAAGCTACCAGAAAATGAGCTATCCAAAAATAACCAAGGCTTATGGGAATGGGGCGGCATATAAGAATCCCAAATAAATTAAAAAAAAAACAAAACCCTCCAGGGATCCAAAACTCACTAGCCCCCACAGCACTGTTTAAAGTTAATGTACTTATTCAGGTCAATGCTAATGATCCTAAGCAGCCCTTGTAGACTTGGTTGATGCTAGAGCCCCCGTGCCTTGGATAGTTCTGGGCCTCAGGGCATTCGCCAGCATCCATGCTACAGTTCTGTGCTCCACCTGAACTATTGTCCACCTAATTTTACTGTTCCATGGTATAGAAAAATCAATTCTTTGAAAGCTGGACCTTAGAAGGAAAAGCAGACTACTAGGGAGTACACAAACACATGCAGGTATAGAGTTCCAGCTTCAGTTACACGCAGTACCAAAATGAAATTAATAACAAGAATAAGAATAATTTGTCCCCTGGCAGGAATACAATGTTCCATAGTAAACAGGTAAATGTTCAGAAGTGCAGAGGATACTCAGCCCTGAACTTTAGGTCTTCCTGGCTTTGCACAACATACTCTGATATTTTTGCCTAGGTGCCAAAATCCCCACTATGGAGCAGCAAGTCAGCACAACAATGTAGCCAGCGATTGTATGTACTGCTTTCCTGTTGTCACCCCCCCCCCCGCACCCCACAGTTGTCTGGGTGAAGACAGGTGCCTCTGCACTATGTAAATCAGCCCTTATACCTGACAATGCCTCTCATTCTTCAGCCTGCAAGCACTTGTACAGAATAATGGCTTTGACTATCTTCTTTCTTTATGTCCAGCTTTTTCCAGCTCCACTCCAGACACTGTCACGGAAGATTGTTCAGTCCAGGACCAATAACACTATAGTTGGGGTCTTTACCATTGTATTAGTTTTCCTCTCAGCCTTTGTCAACATGGTACGTTGTATTACCTTTTCCTGATTTAGCTGCACAGTGATTTATCAATTCTCCAAAAGCTTTAGAGCATATGTAGATGATAACCGCAGGCATGACTGCTTCCCTAGACGCCTTTCGTGGTTTCCTCACTTTAAAAGAAAGCATGCTTTTTCTTCTCTGCAGCTGGGACTGCTGTACAACCATTTCTGTTGGTGCTGAAAAGTGTGGGTTCAAAACTGCTGGGGCTCAGGCCCCACCTCTGCCTTGTCTGCGATCTTTGGGGAAGATCCGTTGTTCTTTGTTGCGCCTTCTGTGACAGCCATTGTGGTGGGTGCCAAAAAGGGTCCCTCAAAATGACAAAAATGTTCATGGTCCAAAAAGGGTTGCCCCAACCCTAACCCCATCTTGCTGTAGAGTATTCTGCTGCTGGTATGTGTGTGCAGTAGCAACAGACATCGCTCTGTTACAGCAGTTTGCCTCATCCCTCTCACCCACTCTGATTTCTCCATATATTTTGGACCTCGACTCCCGGCATTCCTGATCGCTGGCCATGCTCTTTGGTGTCGAGGTCCAAAGCAGGAAGGTGCCCAGCTAGAGAAAACTGTTCTAACCCATCACTGCCACAGTTTGACTTGACCATTGTTATATTTGCAAAATACAGTGTCAGAGCAGTGATGATCATTCAGCCAACTGGAAGATTTTGCTGGAATACCCCATGTCTTTCATGTCATTTGAATTAAATCAGGAGTGTTGAGCTGCTTAAGCTTCAAGGCTGAATTCCATTCCAGCTAAAATCTCAGGAGTTGGATTCCTGTGGTGGAATGCAGAGCAGGCAGACCAAAAAATGCCAGCATATCTTGGCTTAAAGCTGTTACTGTCAATAACTAAGTCTTAGGGGAGGTATTTCAACCTTTTAGAGTGGGGGTGGGGGGAGCGGGAGGATAGCACAAATGATTGGTCGTTGGTGGAAAGAGGGTGGGCCAGAGGAGAGGGGTGTGGCCTTCTGGGAAATCCCACAGGAGTAATTTGAGACACATGGCCTGAGGTACTGCACCCAAGAATTAAGTGGGCAGGGTTGGATAGTATGTGGGTTGTGGGTAGAGTTAGCTGTGAATAAACCCATCAAGGAAGCATGCAGCCCAGTTTAACATTCCTGCTAATCAACATCACTGTGTCTCTGTTATCTGAATGGATGTCTTGCATAATTGGGCCAAGGGTTATCTGTATTGAGCTAGCTTCCTAGTGCCTTTTAAATTATCTCTAGTCTAACATCTTAGATGATGTACAATATTGGTTGGTTGTTCTCCTTCTCCTTGACATTCTTTCATGTTTGTCTCTTCCCTTCTGCCAGTTCACATGCAGTACCTTGGACCTCCGTGCTTGTGTGGCTGCAGAGTATAACATCACTCCGCACGAGGTGAACGTGTGCCATGTCAGGTACTCTGCTTCCAACCACAGCCTAGGGACAGCTCAGGGGCTCTGTGCCAGCTCCCAGCCAAGCTGCAACTTTCCAGAGGTACTTTGCTCGAAGCCCTGCATGCATGTGCGTATGTTTTTGGGATGCCTTGAAACACTGGCGCCAACTAGGGTTTGCAGCCTGTGATAGTCCTGCTGAGAGTAGCTACGTTGAAAGAAATAAGGCTTAAGTTATTGACAACTAATTAAATCCCATTCATTTGAATGGACTATTGAATTAGAACTAACATGGGCTATGGCCCTGTATGTGGAGCTGCTTTATGCGGAGTCTGACACTTTGCCCGCTGACTTCAGTGCTGTATGCAGGGGCTCTGCATGATCTCGAGCAGAGAGCCCTCCTAGACCTGCTACCCAATCTCCCTACTGAACTTGGGACTTGCGGCTTGCAAGGGCTCATGTTCGATAGTAGGCTAGCTTAAATCCCATTCATTTCATTGGTTCACGGCTAAGTAGAGGTAGCATTGGTACCACGCAGCATTCTCTACCATCGAGCACTAATCTCTCCTTGTGTGAGGGGTAGACATAAGCCTGCATCTTACACAGAATGGGGCAGCAGAATTCCCAGCTGCCCTTCTTCTGACTGTCTGTGGGATAGTTATATTTTTTATTGCTGACCTGTGTAATAAGCTCTCTCCATGTAGTCCTGATTTGATTTGCTTCTCTACACCATGAATTCTTGGTAGTGTGAGTCTGCAGTCTTATTTATTTACTTATTTTTCAATTTATATCCTGCCTTTTTCCTACAAAGGGCTCAAGGCAGCTTACATCATTCTCCTCCTCCATCTTATCCCCACAACAACAACCCTGTGAGGCAGGTTGGGCTGAGAGTCTGTGACTGGCCCAGAGCCACCCAGTTGGCTCCATGGCTGAGCGGGGACTAGAACCCAGATCGACTGAGTTCCAGATACCACACTCTTAACCACTACACCACACCGGCTCTCTTATGCATGGAAGTTAACTGAAGTCTGTGGGACTTCTGAGTAAACCTGAGTACTCTTATCCAGATCCACTCAGAAGTAAGCAAACACATTTGGTTGAGCACAGGAGAACCGGCCAGGGGATAAGTGCAGCACAATGGACTGCCTGTGAGGTGCCAAGCATGGTTGGTGGGTTCTGTTTCGCCTGGTGGGGCAGGTTCCTTGCAGAGCTGCTGGAAGCAGGCGAATGGCATGTGTCAGCCTCACTGTAAGGATCCATTCAAGTTGGTGAGTGTTAATACATAGCTAGGATTCCGTCTTCTTAGCAGATCTTTGCAGCACTGCGCATTTGGCATTTGCTCCTCTTTGCTGATAATTTTTCCTTCTCGTTCTTTCCCCTCCCCTGCCTCCCAATCCCTTCCCACACAGTATTTTACCTACAGTGTCTTACTGAGCCTCCTGGCCTGCTCCGTATTCCTCCAGATCAGCTGCATTGGGAAACTCATCTTGATGTTGATTATTGAATTTATATATGTCCTCATTGTGGAAGTCCCGGGGCTTACACTCTTCAATAACGCAGATCTTCTGGTTACAGCCAATGCCATGTAAGTGATTGTAAGGAGCATCCTTAAACTCTTAGGAGACCCTTGTATCCACCTGGGTTGTCAAGACTTTTTCTGGTCCTTGTGAGTCACAGCTGAAGTGGTGAAACTGTGTTTGGACTGTACCACTTCTGGTTGCAGCTAGGGACTCAACAAGGCTCAACCCCAACCAATTTTAAAGCCACCTGCACACAGAAGTCAAGCTGCCAGGGAAAAGGTTTGAGCCTCACCATTTTATAATGCATAGGGAATGTTTTGTTATATGGAAGAGCAGTGCTTTTTTTGTAAGAAAAAGGGTGCCGGAACGCATGAAATTATTTACCTTTCGCATGTAGTCAATCACTGTACACACAGACACGTCAGTTGTGTAACGAAACATAATGGTCGCTGCCCGCAGTAAGCACTCAGCACGCAACCACACAACCAGTCACAAGCCGAGCAGTGCCATCACATCCAGCGCGGATGAAGTACGCATTCATCGGACTCGACACACAAGCAGTCCATATGCACCGTTTTAATGATTTTGCCGCCAACCTGCTATGCTCGACAGGGCGATTCAAATCCACGTGGACCAAACATCAAATTTTCAAAAGTTACTTTTAAAACTTGGAAAATTTGTTGGAAAAAGGTGCTGGAACTCTGTTCCGACATGTTCTATGACAAAAAAAGCACTGTGGAAGAGTACCGGTCACCTAAATTCCTACCTGCAGTCTGAAGCAAAACCAAAAGATGAGGGAATGCCACCTCATCTTCCAGAGAGGTTTTGCCCAGATTTTACCCATGGGCCTGAGGTTCAACATTGGTACACAAACAGCTGCATATAAATAGAGGGGCTACGGAATATCAGCAAGTGAGTCGCCACTATGAGATGTGAAGGGCCTTGCATAGCTTCTTATTCTGTTCTGCTGGCATCTAGAGTTGGAAATTGTCATGCACATGGCGTTTGGGTTTGCAGATGTGTTCCTTTTGTGTGAAGAAGGGGGGCTGTGCCTCAGTCACGTGGAATGCTTGCAAACTTTGCTGGCCTAGTATGAAACAAGTAGGAGGAAAAAGCTAAGAAACAGTGACTTGAAAGTGAAAAGTCTAAACAAAACATCAAAGGGTTTTGTCTCTAAGGTTCTTCCTCCAGCTACAAGTTATTTCTTAGCCTGCCAGCCCTGTACATGCACACTTGAAATGAGTTCATTTTAACAGATCTTAACATCCAGCTAAATATATGTCAGCTAGTAAGCAATGGGGTTTTGGTAATGGTAATGGGCAGCACATTCCAGAATGGGTAGGTGGAGCTGTGTAGGTTTGGAAACAACTCATCAAAGTGTACTGGCTCATTGATGACTTGGTCTACATGTGAAGGAAAACGAGATGGTAGACTCTTGAGGTGGTGGAGTCAATGGTACCACATCTGACTACAAGTGTTAATCTCCTAAACATTTGCAACTAAAGCTAGCACTTCAGGGAGAAGAGTTCTAGGCAACCTGCTTCAAGTTGCATTATTTCAGGGAGTTGGTTTCTATGTTTTCTATGCCTGAAGGACATTCAGAAATGCCATCCCTTACATTTCCTATACCAGTCATTCTTCTATTCAGCCCTTTAGCGCTTCATTTTCACCTCATCCTGCTAAGTGTACAGCTCAGACATAAAAGTTTACTACTAGCAATAGCCCGTCTTCTCCACAGTCGCTTTGGGTGAATTTTCAAACCATTTAATGTTGTCACTGGCCTTTTCTGCAGGAATATCAGGCTTGGGGAGAAAAAGAAAAAAGACCAACCTTGTAATGTGCTCCCAAGAGAGCACCAAGAGGCAATCTGAGCAATGCTCTGATGGCAACAGACGCATCTTGTCCTTGCTTTCGCTCCCATTTCCAGCCTTTGGGGCTTTCATTGCTAAGAACAAGAGCACAAACTCTGGCATGCAGGCTACTCGGTGCTGCTGCCCTACATTTCACCCCCTGCTAATCTGACACAACTGCTCTCCCTCGTGAGGCTTCAAGGAAGTGGTTCTGGGTGATGCTGATGAAATGTTTCTATCCCACTCCAGTATCACATCACCCCTCCTTGGGCTGGCAGTACAGATGCACCATATCCATCCTACAGAAAAGATGGCTTCCTTTAGATACATGGCAGGGAGGTAAACAGCCATGCTTATAGCAGTTCCTACGCCAAGCAAGGCAAGAATCAGGTCTCAAAGTTATGGAGAATGTCAACATCTAATTACATGGGTAAAACTGTGTCTGTAGTGAGTTTATTTCATCTAATCTTCCTAGGAACACTTTTCAAGGGTCGAGTCAAAGGCATGCTTGCCTGGAATTACTTATCACTGAACACAGAAAGACTTACTTTCTATTAACCATGCATAAGATAGCATTGAACAGATGTAGAATGGTAACTTGACCAATGAACTGTTTCTTCTGCATTAAAAATCGTTCATTGCAGAAATTTAGTTTGTTCACTGATAAGCAACACCACTTTTATTGGTATTACTTCATGCCCCATAACCCTTCGTGATTTTCATCTTTCCCTTCCAATACATGGAACACTCATTTTGCTGTTGTCTTTGGTGTGTGAAGCAACACAGTATATAAAGCCGCATTTCGCTCTGGCTGAACCACAGCACTGCCTTTCTCCATCTTTTGATTGCTTGGCTGAGAGTAAGCCACTTGGGTGATGGCAAATTAGGGGCACTCATTGAAGGAATAATATGAAAACAGAACATCTTTCAGGCTTTTTATTCTGCAAGGAATGTTGATAAGCTGAGAGCAGGCTGAATTAGAGCACTTAAAGGCAATTATTTGCATCACTGTGCAATCAAGATGTCAGTAATAAGGTGGGGTAAATAATTAGGTTTTTCCCAGAAAGAAATTTGGGAACCGCAGTCTTGCCGCTCATTAAATGATTTTTGTTTTCTCTGAAAGTTCCATTTATGCTTATGGCTTCAGTTCATGGTGAACCATTTACGGACTGTGGGAAGTATTTAGTACAGGCAGGCGGCCACAATCTAGGAGTATGCACTTCAGGGTGCAGGGAACATTTGCCCTGTTCTGGCTTAGTTGTTACTGGTTTTCCTGACCTTGTGAGGAGCACCCCAGCCCTGCCCTGCTTTGCTGTCACACCCATTGCCCTGCATGTGCCCAGGGTGACAGTCCGAACAGGGAAGCCTCCTGTATCAGTGGAGGCTGCCCACATGATCCAGGACCCAGAAAATCTGGCTTGTGGCTCACTGGGGAAGTCTCCATGGATAGAAGAGACTCTGCTGTGCAGATTGTTGCCCCCCACATACCCATGGCAATGGATGCATCAGCAGAGGGGAGAAAGGCTGGGCTAAAGGGAGCCAGTGTGGTGCAGTAGTCAAGGGTGTGGGACTGTGACCTGGGTTCTAGTCCCCGCTCAGCCATGGAGCCAACTGAGTGACTTGGGGCCAGTCACAGACTCTCAGTCCAACCCACCTCACAGGGATGTTATTGTGGGGATAAGATGGAGAGCAGGAGGAAGAGAATGATGTAAGCTGCTTTGAGTTCTTTAAAAAAGAAAAAGGCAGGATATAAATCTAAGGAAGGTTTCAGGGTTAGTGAAACTACTAGCAAGTACACCTGAGCAGGCTTATTGTAGTATGTTAATTTATTGGCTTATCTCTCAAAGCCACCTAATTATTCTCTGTGTGCTTTGCCCATGAATTAATGAGCTCTGCGGATGACTCATGTCACTCTCTTATACCAGTTGACCTATAAGCCAGGGAATGGCTAATGGAAAAGCTCGGCAGGTGCAACCAAACCATGCTCTAAGTGTCCAAACCAGTACTGTGGAATGCTAGTTTCTCTCCCCACTTTCAATTCTCAGCAGATCAGGCCAAGAAGCAGTTCGCTATAATATTATGTTGAAGATGGCCAACCAGGACTGGCTTTGCAACACAATGAGAGTAATGTATAAGACATTAGTAAGAGACACCCTTCAAATTAAACCTCCTAAATAGTGACATTAGTTTTTCCCTATACCAGAAGCTAATCCTAAACTTAATTTCCCTCCTCCCTTCCCCACCAAGCAGAGGTGGGTTTGGCAAACTCCTCAGGGAGTTTGGCACTGCTCGTGGGCCAGACAGCAAGAATGCTAGCCAATACTTAATTGGCCTGTTTGTTTGACTTGACATGAGACCACCGGACTGATAAAATTAGGCCTGTCCGTGTTTGACCCTCTGCATCCCACAGTGTCTTCCAGTGCACCAGAGGCAGCAGGGTTCTCACCAGCCACTTGGCTTAGCTGACAGCCCAGGGAGATTGGCATTCAGCTAAGCGTTCCAATGTTGCTGCTGGTCCCTTTGCCACTCACAGGGCATAAGAGGATTGGTGGGGACATAGGTACCCCATTGGATCTGCCCTCTGATGGGGTCTGGCAGCACAAGTACAGCAGCAAGGGCCTGAAAGTCTCACCGAGATCCCCAAGAAATGTGCAGAAACTAGATTGCGAGCCATCGGTCCATCTCCAAAACTGTTGAATTTGGAGCATGTCCTGTACATGCCACCTTCCAAACCATTTTGTAGAATTCTTCCTAGTTTTGGAATGGCTGTTTTTACATAATCTTTCTGACCTGCTGAATTAGGCTTATTTCTGTATACCTATTCTTAGGAGTTTACATCACTGGAACTATGTCCTTAATTTTCCCAGGCAGCACAGGTTTATATTACAGTATCCAATCATCCAGCTTTCCTCTAGTACATTCCACTAAGCAGAGATCATGCCCTCACTTCCAATAAAATTAAACTGAAAGGTGTGTGTGGGGGGGGGGCAAGCCTCTTCCTTTCACTGTACTAGTGCAGCTGATCCTTTGGAAGTGGTTATGGCGCCACACAGTGCACAAAGTGAAAAATTGCAGCACAGACACTGCAGATTGGTTGTGCATTTCACCTGAGCTGTGAATGCATGTTCCTTATGTGACATCTGACATTCCATTTGGGTGCCTCTAGATGAGGTTTATATTGTGCAATGATGCTGCCTCATTCAGAGAATTTTACAGAGAGAACACCCAATGTTGTTATTCGTAATCAGTCCATATTTTTTTACTAATTATTATTATTATTATTATTATTATTATTATTATTATTATTATTATTATTACATGTCTATGCCGCCCCTTGCCAAAGCCTCGGGGCGGCTTACAACACAATAAAATAGACACACAATAAAATGAGTAAAGCTGGTAGTGCCAAGCTGGAAGGGAGGGAGGGCACTACAAGGAATGCTCTGGGCATTGCTGCTCTTGCCAAAGGCTCTGCAGCCCGTCTAGGCAAGCCATGCAGAAATGGCTGTGCCAGGTTTGGCTGAGATGTCAAGCCTCTATGGGAACCGGGAGCCCTAAGCAAGCCGCAGTTTTCTTGGTCTGACTTGTTCAGGCAAAGAAGCCACACTGCAGCAACCATGCTGAGTTCTCACAACGTGACAACCCGCCACTGCTGATCACATGTGAAGGACTGTTGCATTCTGCAAACCATAATAGTGGATCATCTTTCCTAGCAGGTCATGAAATTGACCAGGTAAAGTCAGGATCTGCAGGCTTATCTTAACTACATTTGCTCAGACATGAGGTAGCATTGCCCTATGGTGCAAGCACTCTTACAAATGGGATGAAAAGGGAATAATTTGGAACATGCATGCACAAATGGGTTACTAAAGCAGTGCTGAGAAGCACCTGCTTCAAAATTTAAGGAAATGGGCATGTGGTGGCCATTGAGGATGTAGAAAGCAACACGGCAGCACTGCTCACCTGGCTGTGTTGTATGGACTGGACACAGGGAGATGTGCAAACTAAAAAAATTCTCGAACCCGTCAGGAGTGGGCAGGGAGTGTTATGCCATTGCTACTGAAGCCTGAAAGTATTTGCTTCAATGCAAGTGACATGGATTTTGATGGGCCCCAGTTCCAGTACTGAAGACAGCAGCTGAAAAGGGTGTCTGCAGACGGAGGCCTCTTGGTGCTGCCCATCGTTGCTTTTCTGTAAATTCAGTGCCAGCAGCCTTCTCCGGTCTGTCGCCTTCTAGATGTAGAGGGGCTAAAATTCCCATCTTCTTCAGCTGGGGTGATGGGCACTGTAATCCAGCGCTTCTGAAGAGGTTAAGGAAGGCTATTACAAAGGATGCCATTTCTTGCTTCCTCCCAGCATGACTTTCAGGATGCTTTGCACACGAGGATGTGGAATGACTCACCTGCAAATTTCAGTAATGTGAACTGTATGCCTCACACACGTCCATTTGGTTATCATCATGCAGGTGATCCAGAGCAGACATGAAGTGGCATTTTTATGCATGATGTCCCATGAAAGATGCTTTGCCTTTACCCTAGAGTTACATACGAACTGAGGAAAATTCAGGCTAGCTGGTGCAGGGCAAAAAGGCAGCTTGATTGATGAAAAGGCACATCTTTAATAACTTGTTCTTTTCATACTTTCTAAGTGTTCAGACTCCTTCACATATTTTTTCTGTAACCTCGTAACAGGTAAGGCAGCATTATGTTCACTGTAGGCTTGCTAAGAGGCTCTTGTATGTGACCCGGTGTCTTCCTGGCGCAACCTGAACTAGCAGAGCAGGCTGCGTGCTACAACAGTGAGGCACGTACAGTGCTGGCTTCCGATCTCCCGCTCAGGCCCGTGAGGCTCATTCCCAAGTGAGCAACCGTTAGGATGCCGTTCTGCGCTGCAGTCCTGCCCACACTGACTTGGGAGCAACCACGTTGAACTCAGTGGCACATAGTTCTGAGTAGATGTTCTTTAGATTGCACTGTAAACATGGAGCAGGAAAGAAAGAGAGAGAGAGAGAGAGAGGGAGAGAGAGGGAGAGAGGGCGGGCCAATGATCTGGAAAGCTAACAAACACCTAAATCGAGTTTCTGTCTTATTTCAGTGTGTTTTCCAATGCCACTGGGAATGAAATATGGTGAGTTACTGGAGGTTTGGAGGGAGGGAGGGCGGGCGGGCATGGGTTGCACTGCCTCAAGATGCGAAATGTCTTCGGTCATTTCGGCCAGTAGCCTGTTTCCCATCCCTGAACCATGAGCACCCTGGCCCTTTTCTGATCCCTTCCCCTAAACTTCTGATACAATGCCCAAGCTACTCTAATAACCGATGCACAGAAAAACAAGAGGTTCATTGACCCCAGGTGAAGTGGCGCGCTTGGATTTTAATGCCCTTGCTGAATCAGGAACACAATGTGATGAAAATCCAGATGACGTTGAGCGGAACAAAATGCAGGTGTCAGTGAATTGTATTGACAGGCAGATGAGTTTTACCTCTTGCTCAACTTGTCCCAAGACAAGGAATTGAGAAATTGTATCCTAGTGCATTTTATATACTGCTCCAGTTAAGTGACTCAGCCTCAAATGTTTGCATGATTACATGTTTCCTTCTGCTGCGTAGTCCTCCAAGCGTATCCAGAGTGGCCTTGAAGATAGTGACCCCTGTAGTTATCACAGTTTTCGTCTTGGCGGTATATCTCCACGCCCAGCAGGTGGAATCCACAGCCCGGCTTGATTTCCTTTGGAAGCTGCAGGTGGGTGTCTTTAATGCTACATTGGCATGGCATTTCATCACCATTAACTGTTACTGTGTTGTCATGCCACGCTCATAAATCGGAAGTGGGGACACATGAGGAAACCTCTGCATCAGTCTTCTCCTACCTGGGGATCCCCAGTGGCCATGCTGACTGGTAATTATGAAAGCTGCAGACCAACAGTTTAGAGAGCACCAAGCTGTGGAAGCTGCTTGGCAGCATCCTTTCTTAGCTGAGACTCAAAGATTTTGACGTTCTTAACGTACAGGAGCCCAATAACTGCTTAGTTAGTTAGCTGATGTCTTCTACATAGGGAAGGAGGCAGGCTGCATTGAGAAAACTTGAGTGGAACATGAATAGGAATTTTGGGTTGGCTACAGCAAACCTTCCCAGAGACATAAGAGGTCTTTCCATTAGAAGGAGGCTTTTGATCCAGTGAATGGGAAAAGATCTCTTCTGATCCCAACCCCCCCACCCCCCAAAACCCCCAAATACATATCCGCTGAGGAGGGCTGGGGACAATTCGGAACAGGGGGAGATGGTGTTAGGGACTATACAAGCAGGTGGAATCTGTGAAAACTGCCTTCCCCTGACCATACCAGCAGGAGCACCCCTCCCACTCTGGGGCACTCCCACTGTACAATAAAAACATTGTATCATGTGGATCACTGCCCTGATCCATCCTCACTGACTCAGTGGGTCTACTCTACATGTGACCAAATCAGGTTCCAACCACAAGTTGCACAAAATTCTAGTTCTGTGGATCCCCAAATATAACAGCCAGGATCCAGACTTATCATTTCACTTATGGACTGAAACTCGCATTCTTTCCCCCACACTTCAGTCCCTACATGTCCCCGGGAGCCTCCAGAGCAGATTTAGAAGGCGAGGCTACAGAGGCAGCAGGGAGAAGAGAGGACATGGGAGTCCCATTCCAGCAGCAGTGCCCTTCCACTGGCGGTAGAGCACTGCCCCTGGGCCCAAGCCACTCTGAGCTCAGCTGTGCCAGAGAGCTAAGAGGTTAGCTTTCCAGGCCTATGTTAGTAATTTTATTTATATATTACATTTCTACCCTGCCTCTTTTCCACTTGTACAAAACCCAGTGCAGCTTACACGTTCCCTTTTTCTCATCACAGCAGCAAATCTGTGAGCTAGATTAGATGGTCAGACAGAGAGTATGGACTAGAACTTGGATCTTCCAAGGCCCATTCCAGTACTCCAGCTACTATGCACACTGTCTCTCAGCAAAGTAGACATTACTTTGAAAAAGACTTAATTTGTGTGAGCTTTCGACATTTGATGAAAACCCTTTTCGGCACCACGGATGCTGTTGCCCCTGCCAAAGCTGCTCTTGCACCAGCTTCTCACCGACTTCTGCATCCAGGCAAGCCCTGCCTGATGCTTTTTCCGTGTTTCTGAATTGGCCATGTTAGTAATCCCTTCCAGCGACAAATCCCACAGACTACTCTTGTGCAGACATCACTGGACAGCAGTAAATGAGGGCAGGTCCGATTAGATGTGGCCGTGTCACTGAGAGCAGTTGAGATGACAGAAGGAAGGTGTTTGTGGTTTTACAAAAAGTGGCAAAAATGGCAGTTCGGTCACCCAGTTATCACTGTGCTGCACCTTACTCTCATCTCTGATTCCAGCCCACTTCGCACTGGAGTGACTCTAACTTGCAACCTCATCTTTGTCCCTCTTTCCAGGCTACTGAAGAAAAGGAGGAAATGGAGGAGCTGCAGGCCTACAACAGACGGCTTCTCCATAACATCTTGCCAAAGGACGTCGCAGCCCACTTCCTCGCACAGGAACGGCGGAACGACGAGCTGTACTACCAGTCCTGCGAGTGCGTGGCCGTGATGTTTGCCTCCATCAGCAACTTCTCAGAATTCTATGTAGAATTAGAGGCCAACAATGAAGGTGTGGAGTGCCTGAGGCTCCTCAATGAAATCATTGCTGACTTCGACGAGGTAAGCAAGGAAAAGCTGCTGCTGTTGTCGTCGTTACTGTATTTATATACTGCCCGTAACCAAAGTTCTCTGAGTGGTTCACAACATCTAAGTCACCCATCCAGATTTCAACTGAGCCTGACCCTGCTTAGCTTCCAAGATTAGGCAGGATCAGGCACTTCAGGCTAGCATTGCAATTGGTCGGTTTTGTTCCTGAATGTATCTGAGCGCGGGAGCCTGAGCTGTGCCCCAGCAGCCATTTCTGACACCTCCTGTTTCTGCACATAGCTTCTCTTTTTGGTAAGAGTTAACAATTGAAATAGCATGACTTTTCTTTCTATTCTCTGCTGCACCATACGCTTACTGAAAGGTGCTGCTGAACCCAAATCATGTGCTACACTTGTAGATGCTTCCTCCAAGCAGGTGGCTGGGGAGGTGTGACGCTGCTCAGCTTGCAGGACTCCTGCAGCTCATGGAACCGTCTTCTTGGTTTTTTCTGTCTGGCCCAGTGCCACACTGTCCTGGCGCATATGCAGCCCTGCACAGCTCCTGGCACCCTGCTCCTACAGATCAAGTGATGCAGTGCTGCAAACGGTAATTGAGCTAGAGAAGTGAAGTAGGGCAGCGCCTCTGGCTTTGATACCCTCGCTGGGAAAGCTCCACTGCTTCTAGCACTTATTACTAGCTAGGCATGAGAAAGAAACTAGTCCAGTTCTCATTTTAATGTGAATTTACCCAGTTTGGCAATTTTGAACCACTACATGAACTGAAATTCAGGTGACCTTTGAAATTTTTGCTTCTGTGAAGTTTGCAGTGGAGGCCTACTATCAAAAATGCATATAAGGGGAAACTCTGTCTAAAAATGCATTCTTCTAGAAACATATTTACATTAGCAAAAATTCAAGAATTAGGAGAAAGGTGGACAGAAATGCTTATGAATTTTCATGCAAGCTTTTAAAAATCTGAAAGCCTGGGATGAACTGGGTTGGAATACGAGGCACTGCAATTCAGTTGGCTAGAGCATATTTGCACTTGCCTTGTCACTTTTATTGCTTAAAGGGATAATTGGGGATGCCTTGGAAGGGGTGTAAGAGAGCAATCTACTCATCCCAAATGGCCTGAACCCAGCCTCCTTGAGTATGACATCAAGCACCACTGAGGCTGTGCCAGGGACATCTGCTGCGGTTCCCCAGACCAGGATCAGGCCAGGCTGGTCACAGGAGGAGCGGCTGGGCTAGAGCCCTGTTTGGTATCCTGTGACCTGAAGTGGCAGGGCAAAACCTGCCTTGTCTTCCAGCTCAGTCAGAAGAAGCCAAACCAAGCATGGGTCTCCATCATAAAATTTCTCTTTGTGGGAGTGTGTGTCCTGTGGTTTACCGCACACCTCAGGCTCTTGTGCAGAAGAGCCACCCAACATATGCCAATTTACCTTTGGCCCTTTCAGTGATGTTCTTCCTTTTTGATTAACCAGATAATAAGTGAGGACCAGTTTCGCCAGCTGGAAAAGATCAAAACTATAGGCAGTACGTACATGGCTGCGTCTGGCCTTAATGAGTCCACCTATGACAAAGTGGGCAAAACGCATATCAAGGCCCTGGCTGACTTTGCAATGAGGTTAATGGATCAAATGAAGTACATCAATGAGCATTCGTTCAACAACTTCCAGATGAAAATAGGTAAATGCCATGGCTGGAATTGAGCCTGTATGTAAGGTAAAAAGTGCATATGGAATTGGTGCTGCCTATACTGAATGCAGTAGGGGTTGGATGATTGGGGTTGGATGATAACTCCTATCCCCCAGGATCGCCATTGTCCGGGAATGATGGGACTGGGAATGGCTGAAGTAGGCATTGATACTCTTTGTGATCTGCATGTATCTGGCAGTGTCAGTCAGGTTTTGTGCGGAAAGCTGTCATTATTAGAAGATGCTTTTCATGGGGGATAAATGCATAATACAATGCATAATACATTGCCAGTGGAAAGATCAAACACCATGCAAAGAAACTCAGCTAACCTTACAACTTTAGTGCTTTTCATTCTGGAGAACTATCATGTTGGAAGTCCATGTCTTCCTTCAGTTTTCACCCTTGAATCTAACCTGGATAAATATACAGATTTGGTGTGAAAGGAAAGCAGAACTCTCCCAACCAGATCTGGCAAAGGCCCCTTAGCCACCTGCATCCCTCGATCCACTGCTCAGGGGCCTCCGCTCTCCATTCTGGCAGTGCCAGACATCTCGCTGCAGGGACCAAGTCCAGCATCTATTCTGCCTTCCTCCCATGCAAAGCTGACAGAACCTGCCACTGGTTCTCGGGCAGTCCCTCAGGGGTACTCAGTCTGTTCATTGATCGTGTGTGCAAAGGAAACAGATTTCCGTGTATTCTTCAAATGACTGTGATTTTGAGTGCAAGAAATTGGTACCCAGTTATGTGTATTAGTAAGGAACTGGTGTCTAAGAAAGCACCCAACCCCAATTTAATGCCCTCTGCTTGTGTTGGCCTGCAATGCCCATCATTGCCAGCCAGCACTGGCTGGGAATGATGGGTCTGTAGTCTGACACATCTGGAAAGTCTGTCAGGTTGGGGAAGGGTCCAGTTAGACCACGTTAGGGATTCCTCTTGATGATGGTATTGCAGATTTCAAAAATGAGCAAAGGTGCTGTAAAATGAGTTTGTCCATCCGGCAGCGCTTTTCTTAGTTCTGGCACAGACATTACAGCACCAGCAAGATGCTGCTTTCAGACCCTTCACCAGAGCTTAACCTGTTTATCAGACATTTCAGAAGGTGTTCCTAAAGTACTGGTTTGATTTGGTTTGGTTTGGTTTAAAAACCTGTTTGACCCACAGAGATAAGTTGCAAAACATGATGAACAAAACACTGACGGTTGCAAGTCAGCAAAAGCCAAGTTTTAGGGTATAAACCACCAAAGCAAGCATTTTTAATAGTGCAATCCTATGCATGTTTCCTCTGCAAGTAAGTCAATAAAGTTCCCTTAGTAAGTCCCACTAAGTTCAGTAGGACATAGGTTGCAATCCTACGTATGCCGCTTTTCCTGCATGTAAGTCCTTTTGAACTCAGTGTTACTTAATCCTATACATGTCTTTTTAGAATTATGTTATTAATGTGCAGCAAGTGGGCTTAGAGTTACAGCTCCATTCCTATTTATTTCAATGGGATTTTTTAAAAATAAAACTCTTTAAAATTCAATGGACTTCTAATATTCCATTGAAATCAGTGGGAATGAATCATGCGTCTTTTGTTTTCAAGTTTTTACAGTTGCTAAGGTCAAATATGAAGCTTGTTTCCTTCCTTCCTAGTATGTGTTTTTTTCTTTGATAAACAATGTCAGAAAAATAGTATTTTTGCGGAGAGTGCAATAGTTCACTAATTCTATGATGGTACCTGCACACTAGTTTATTAATTACATGAAATACAAGCCACCAGATATGCAAACTTGACCAGCCTGGTCATGTCACACTATTCCATGTAGTCCTCAAAAGGCAAACAAGTTGCCCATTGAGAACTTAGCTCTAGCCGGTGGATAGTTGGAAATGGATCCAAGAATTTCAGTTCCTTCCCTGATGCAGGTTTGTAGTGAAACCATGCCAGAAAAAGTTGATTTGCTCATGCCTGTTTCCTTGCTGTTCCTTTTCTAGGGCTCAATATTGGCCCAGTAGTCGCTGGGGTGATAGGCGCACGTAAGCCCCAATATGATATTTGGGGGAACACTGTGAATGTAGCCAGTCGCATGGACAGCACAGGAGTGCCCGACAGGATTCAGGTCAGTCTTCCTAACACTGCTGCACTTCCCAAGCCATTTGCCTCTTGTGCGCATTCATGCACCCCACCATTAAGGGTTGAGACATCAGCCCCATCCGGGCACATCACCTGTGCTCCACTCAGGTGAGAAAATGCCATTTCCTCACCATCATCACAATGTGAAAATACCTAATGGGTCACCAAAGATATGTGGCAGTGACACATGTCATTTCCTGATCTGTGAGATGTGGATCAAGACAAATTAGCATTAACACTTGTACTTTACAATGCAGGAATTTATTTCCCTAAGAAATGCATTCATTGGGAAAAAAATGAAAGGTATGAAGCAATCCTGAAGACACTTCGGAGAAAAAAGTCCTGCTCAAACTCCAACAGATTATGATATCCTCAGTGTTTATATACCTGTACACACATCACAAAGCCTGGAATCAGGGCTTAGGGACACAGCAAAGTTTATTTTGAATGTCCAGAGCCAGTGTTTTGTTTTTAAAGGCATTGTGTGCAGAATGATAACCAGATGAAAGGTAATTAATCCTGCTGCAGTTCATGTGCCAGTGGATCCTGCTGTGCACCCAGTAGATGATTTGTGCTGCAACCCTTGACAAACACGGGCTGAATTCGACCACAGGGAAATGAGGGGCTTGCGTCAGTCTCTCCTTGGTGCTGTACAAATGCTCAGTCCACTGAAAGAAATTCTGAATGCAGGTCCCTGTACGGGAGTCAGCAGGAGGGAGGAAAGGCGGTAGACCAGAGACATGATGGCACAGCAGCACCCCAGAAACAGGAAGTGTGAACAGTGCGTTGTGCATTTCTGCATTTCCTGCTTTTTGCAAGTCCCAGCCCCATAGAAGAGGTGTGTGACAGCAGCATCCACACACGTATCACTTGCACTGAATTAGGGTGCTTTCTGAAAGGAGTCAGGAAGTCACATCATGACCAGATAACATGGGAGAACAGCACATCCCCTGCCGAAGGTGTCCAGCAATTGTTTCCCTGGACCAAGACAGAAGACTAGAGATATTTGTCCCGTGAAGCTTTTCCTTTGTGTTGCCCCAGGGATCGCCCCGGCATTGATACTACAACCTACTATTTATGCTTTGCCGAAGAATGGCAGCTTTCATTACTTCATTCTGTTTGAGAGAGAAGAGCCTTGCCTGCTGAAGGCTAAATGTATAAAAAGAAACGATAGCAGATGGTGTTTGAAAATCCTGATTTAGTCCTATTTCTTTTGAAGAAGGGTCAGGAGGAGAAGGAACTTGGATTTGAACATGAAATCCATAATTAATTCATTCACATCACTCAGCCTTTTAAGAGAAAGATCACATTGTGTTAAGTTGCACAGATTTGCTTATTCTGGCAAATGGCTGAAGGGTTCAGCTGGGTTTACTCCTCTGAACACAGAATGCTGTCTGCAGTTGCAGTCTTCGAGGCAGGTGGCTGGGGTTGCAAGCCCTGACAACCTGTTGCCTGTGACAAGCCATGTAGCTTAAGGGCAGCAAGCCACCATGGCTTGTTCCAGAGTTGTGCCAGTGGGTTTTTGTGATCCTGGACAATCATCCCTATTGCAGGTTGCAGGAACCTGCTTGGCAAGAGCAACAACCAACCCCTCGCCACTCTTGTAAGCTCGCCGCCTGTGACAGGTGTCCCACGCAGGCCCAAATGGCACAGTGGAGCAACTGCAGTTTTATTTGTCCCTGCCATCTGAGGAAGAAGCCGGCTCCTGAAAATGGGGAGGCTCACGCTTTCCCACTTTCTCAGCAATGAGTGGAAAATGCGAGTCCCCTGGGAGTGGTGGGCTTCAACCAAAAAATAACAGCACAGAACTGGAGGATCTGGCCACAGAGAGAGTAATGTGCTCACCACCTACATTTGTGAGCAAAGCTCTCTCGTGGCATCGTTTTCATGCCTTTTGACAGCTGTCAAGAGAGAGCTGCATTAAGAAATAAACTTACTTGCAGCCTCTCTGGTTTGTGGTCCAAATGCAGACACTTTCCAGGACATTGCCCAGGCGAAGCTTCTAGTCCAGGCCCCTGCACCTGTGCTCCTCTAACACTTGCACAAGGCAAATTAAACATTAACAAACATAATAGCAAATAGGCAAATTCCCTGCATGGTGAACCATTGACAGCCCCTCCAGTGTATCACGTCAGCATTTTGGCAGTGTCATCACTGGCTGTCAACTTGGAAGCACCAAAAGAGACCTCTCGGGCGGGGGGGGGGGCAGGTAAAGAGGAAAAGGTCACAGTCCTTGCTTCTTGCTTCCTAGAGCCTTACTTCTGACAGATCTGCCCTCCAAGGCAGTATTCCTTCAGTAGACCTATTAAATAAGACTCAATCTGGTTACTATTTCAGACCCACCGAAATCCCACTGGTTTCAATAACAAGGGTCTCTCTTACTCTAAGAAGATACTCTGGAGCCAGCGCAGGGTGTTTACTTTGTGCTCTGCTAGGGCTCCAAAGCCAGTCCTCATTCATTCCATGCAGGAAGCCCCAGGTTCAGTGGCTGGCATCACCCATTGCAGCAATCAGGTAGCAGGACAGGAACAGTCTCTGCTGGAAAGCCACTGCCAGTCAGAGCAGATCACACTAGGCCAGATGGACAAATGGTCAGACTGTGTATTTCAGTGACCCTCTGCTGAAGCATGACAGGCAAAAGAATAAGAGGGGAACACCTTTTAGCGATCCTGTTAAGGGGGTCAACGCGGCCTACATGTGTGCAGTGAAAGGTGTGAAGGGTGGTAGCAGTGGCAGCAATCTCCAGTGTCTCACATCTTGCTCTGCACTTCATCAGAATGGCTCTTTTGGGCTATCTAAATGAAGCACAGTGGAGGGGGAGGAAGGAGGCTGGGATGCCATTGGGACAGAGCATCAACTGTCATGCCCTATCGTCTCTGCTCCCCACCATGCCCTTGTGCTGTCCAGCCTTGGAGAGGCAGCTGGAGCAGTGGTGTCCACACTGACTGGGCACGGCCTGGCAGCTGGAGTCCCAGCTCCAAGGTTGCAGGATCTCAGAGCTGCAACTCTGACAGCCTGCGGTCCCCCAAGCATCGTCAAGAGGCCATGGGATTCCACGCTCAGTCCAGTACCTAACACTGCATAAACACATTTTCATGACTCTGTCCTTAGGATGGTTCTCATGCACCTTTACCTGTCTATAGCTACAGTATAAAGAACCCTAAGTCAGCACAGTGGGCCTTCCTTTTGAATAAACATGAATGGTGAAAGGCCGTTCAATTGTTTGAGCTTACTTTCTGGAAGGCAGAGATGAGTGCCTCTTTGCATACCCAGCTCAATTTGCCATAGCCCCTTTTTTTGCAAAGCTGGTTTGTGGGTTGTGTACATGTGAACTCTATGGGAGGATGGAATAAAAATGCCTTTTTCACATAGCCTGCCTTGTTCCCATGACTGCATCCACTATGAGTTGACCTGTTAAGCTAAACAAAAACAGAGCTTTTTGTATTGGACCATGAGTAATTGAATGCATGTTCTTCTTTTCTGATCCTTCCAAAACCACTGCAGGTGACCACAGACATGTATCAGGTTTTAATGGTGAACAACTATCAACTAGAGTGCCGAGGGGTCGTTAAAGTCAAAGGTAAAGGAGAAATGACCACCTACTTCCTAAATGAAGGCCCACCAGCAAGTTAGCAGCAGTGGAAGAAATGACTCAGAAATGGCTTGGTTTGATTCAAACACAAATGGAAGGAAAATCCACTGTTTAGCAGTGAATGGAATACCAACACAACTCGGTATTTCCTCTGATGCCTTTCTAGCAGGATTGTGTGCAAGCAAAAACACTGTATGGGCTCTGCAGCACACAATTACCTAGCACTGCTCTGGATTTCTTGTCTGGGTGGAGTGTGAGTGAATTGACCAAAGATTTACACTTAACAGAATTCCAAGATGAAGATGTGGATTGAAATCCGAAAGGAAGCTGCTACGCAGAACTTGAGATATTTAAGTATTTATTTGAAGTAACACAATGTTTTTACTTGGTTTGAAGGAAAGTATGATTCATTGCAACACAAGAGAAAAAATGAACAGCATTACTTTGGAAAGGCTGTGCACTCCCATACTATTTCTGGCCTGTGCTGTCAGCTCCTTCAAGTGTGCCACTGTTCTTTTATTAGCTGTTTGAGTGGGCTTTTAACATTAAAAATACTGCCCACTATTGCTCTATACAAAGGGCCTTTTTATGATGCCATTCATCATGTTTTTAAATGGAAAAGATGCCTTGTTACATACTCTCCTGCCATTCCCTACTCTCACACATGTATGAGGTTTCTTCTTTTTTTAACCAGGACTGATATACTGAAAGGAGGGAGAGAGACAGTGCACTTACAGTGAGAAAAATCAACTTTTCAAACTTATTTATTATTTGAAAAGTCCTTCTCACACCTGGTCAGTGCATATCAGTTTACACAGGGAAGACCAGCTGTCAATATGAAATGCTCAGATAGGGAGGTCCTGCCACAATGTATGGGATTGTTGTTTGGGGGAGGGAGGGCAATTTTGTATTTTGTAATATGGAACACTGATATCTAACAAATATCCCAAAATGTGTTATTTTGAAAATGGCATGTATGGAACAGTCACTCCAACCAAGCAACAGTTCTCTGCATCTGGTCGTGCTGCCATGGAGCATCAAATGGCTATGTGAAGGTGCAGGAAGGGGAGTCTCACTTCCGGCCATCTACCTGAGCAGCTGGCAAATGGTGCAGCGGCTCACAGCTGTGAGGCAAGGCAGGGGCATCTACCCCAAGCCTCTCACAATGGGCAGCTGATCAGCATCTAAGCCAGAAGCCCTTCCTGTGAGAACTGCTGTTCTAAAGAGGAGCCCAGATGCTGTCCAAGCACTCCTTTTCTGCTTCTGGTTCACTGAGAATCGATCAAGTTTAGGAGATGTTTCTGCCCGCCACCAATGTCTCCAAGTCCAGCAGCTGGCGTGAGGCTCTCTGCTGTGCCCGCAGTCCTTGGGTTTGGGGCCAGGGGCTGGCTGTGTGCACAAGGACACACTGGGAGGTGTACATAAGCTATAGAATTGTGTGATGTTCTTTTCATTATTTTCTGAGTTGCAGACTTGGCAGTTTTCAGACAAACACTGTACAGTTCAAGAAACAAAACAAAACAAATGAAAGAACAGTCCTCCAGGTTGTAAAGTCTGGGAAACTCACAGTTGAACAGACAAGGAGAACCAAGAACTAGTGCAGCTGCATTACGCTGGAAAGAGAGGAGTGCCAGAGAGGAGGATGTGGCTATTATTCTGTAAATGTTGTCAAGGGCACTTGACAAATGCCATTTCCATGTGCACCTGAACTAAAGGATTTTTCACAAAGGAGGTGAATGTGTATTGTTCTCAAAATAACTGTCTCTATAAGTACTATAGAATATTACCTAGAAGTTTTGCTTTCTTGGATTATGTGGGAGTTATATTCCATTAATGAGTCACATATTGTGCATTTCATTTTGAGGATTTATAATGCAATCCTATGTGTGCCTACTCAGAAGTAAGTCCCACTGTGTACAATGGTGCTTACTGTCAGCAAAATGTGTGCTGGATTGCAGCTGAAGACAGTTTTTCATGGCCAAACAATTAATTGTGTTGATTGGTTTTTTACAGATGTTGAAGTGGCTATCCTATTGGGGGTTAAAAATGAATGGACTTGATTTAAAAAGAGGGTTATTAATACATATGAGTGAAATAAATAGTTTCAACTTTTAAAGGCAAAAGTCCCCTTCATATTTTATTAAAAATAATAAAAGCATAAAAGCCTATATTTTTGTATTTTGGTGGGGGGGACTTTTGATATTGAATTTGGCTACCTTTAAAGGATTCCAATATTTTGACATTTTTTCCTCTCTTCTCAGGGCAGAATTTCCATGATTTTTTTAACTTGGTGATTCTCCAATGCTGGCACTTGTGGCATGGGGTTTACATTTCTCTTTGACCAAGAAACAAAATAAAATTCACGATTTCAGTCAATTTGTTATATTGCTCAACACAATTGTAGCATCAAGCTGTTTTAAGACTAGAGCTTCAGCAGCATCCCCCTTCCCTTTCATCCTCCACCTTTTCACTAGGGCACATCCTGGAACACTGTTGTTGCCTGACTTCTAGAAAACTGCCAAGTCTGCCCTTGTACTATATTTTTCAACCTAAAAAAAAAAAAAATCCCTTCTGATTTGCAGAAGTCTTTATTTACACAGTACTGCAGCTTCATCACCTTCCACCATGTTTTTGCCACCACTTATCACTTCCAAATTTAATTAATAGCATAAGATAGAATAAATTTGTTTTTGTTTGCCTCCTGCTTTGAAATGTGCATTCTTAACATTTTAAGCAGACCACCTTGCGCGATTGTGTTGTCAATGAACTTTTCAGTCACTTGTATCTCTGACTGTGATTGTTGACTGTGTCATGATCATTTCAAGGGGTATGCACTCTTTATTCTGGCTCTTGCAAAAATGGATACAGTTATGATTTCCCATGGAAATTGCAATTTGTTTAAGTAATTTAACAACTATATTAAACACTGTTTCACTTGTGAATCTGGCCATTTTTTCTCTTTGAAGTCTGGCTCATAAAAAGCCCAGAAATAATTTTGTAGAATAAAAACTGTAATTTAGTATGTGCCGGAGTGATCACAGGATTTGTGCATCACATTCAACGTCCCAAATATGTTTCAGATCCTCGGTTCAATTAGGATGGCACTTCAGGTTTGTATATTCTAGTGCAATAAGTATTCCTGTCACTTGCCGGATGGTATTTAAGCATGCTCTGTCACAGAAAGCAGAAAGGAGGGGCTGGTGACTTAATCCTTGGATATGTCTATTTACTTTTCCATGACTGCATGGAAAACCGTGGCTGGAGAAAGCAGAACAAAATAATCTAACAAGGCCTATTTGCTATTCTAACAATAGCAGCATGGGCTAAATGCATGTACAAAGCATCTTGAAATGAAGGAGGTAATTGGGATACTTTTTAAATGGTTAAGTTCAATCAAACTATACTAAAGAACCATAGATGTTCATTCCTACTCAACTAATTGCATGTAAGAATTGGTCGCTTTCGAGAATATTCACAAGAGCACCACAGTCTGCATTAAATGGACAAGTCAACTAATTCAGTGCACCCCGGATGACCAGTGCAATGCAGACAGGGATTTCAGGCAGTTGCTGGTTCATTTAGTAAGCAATGGAGAAACTCATCTCGAATTTCACCTCCTATCTAGGTCCCACATATGGATATTATCATTGCCATCCACAGGTGCCTTTCCCTGTACTAATCTCTGTTAGGGTAGTTTGGGATAGCATTAGAGCAAAACTTCCTTGTTACCAACTCTGCTAATACAGCAGTAGCCTTCAACACAAGCTAGCAAATGCAAAAGGGAAAAAAACAGCACCAACTGAGAAATGGGGACATAATCAAGCCAAAGTGTCACTGTATTTTTAAATAAATCATTTAAAGTTATGGCTATGTGGAATTGGCACAAACCACATTTTTAAGGAGTAAACGCTATAGTATAAAATGTTGCCCAGCAGCTAGACGTAGAAAAGCTAAAAGTACAGCCCACTTGCCCATGGAAACTGCAGGAGTAATTACACAAGGCAGCTTTAGATGGATTGCTAGTTGTAGGTCATTTCCCCTGACACAATGAATTCATGCTTCAGGCCTCACCATAGAGCAGATAGAAACCAACTCCCAGTATCTTTTTACCAAGTTAGGCCACAGTCAAGTACCATCACTTACAATTTAATTCTGTTGACTTAACAGGCCTCATGCATGCATATCACTACCATCTCACATTGTTTGTTTATCTTTAGCAAATACCGCCAGCTTTTCAGCCATGGCTTATCGGCCTGAAATACTGGAACAAATAGTCACAGCTGAAACATATTTATGTCAGTGCTTCCTGTCACATCTATGATGTCTAAGAAAAAAAATGTAATTATTTGTAGGAGGGATCAACATTTGGCAAAGGTATAGCAGATTCAGATATGTGACTTTGAGAGAGAAGACTCCCTCCTTTGCTTGCCCCCCTCCATATCATATGGACAGCTACCCGGGAGCTGGAACTATTACAGAAATAATTTAATGGTCTGTGGAGAGAAGGGATCTCCAATTTGTTCAAAGGAGGGCAGCAGGAGGGTAAAAACGAATCCACTAAGCATGTCACATGAGCATAGAAAATTGCCCTATACAGGGACAAGCCCTTGGTCCATTTAGCCCAGTACTGTCACAACACTGGCACAGGTTCTCCAGGGTACAAAGCAGAACTCTTTCCATCTACCCTAGATGATGAAGATGATGATTCGACTTGGAACCATCTGCTTACAAACCATGTACTCTGCCACTGAGCTAAGGCTCTCCTCTAGCCTTTGCTTGTGATTCAGGTCGCTCTTTGGCGCCTGCTGGAATACTTCTGCACCACTTTTACAACAGTAGCTGCATGTGGACAGGTATCTGCTACATGACAGTGGAAGTGTGCATCTTGTTCCATTTTCAAAGTTCAATAGCACCAGAAAGAGAAAGCCATGATAAAGCAAACCAGAGTTTCATCATGCAAGAAATAACAGCATAGCCACCCCCTCCCCACACACAAAAACAAACAAACCCTGCCATGCTAGTTGCAGTGATTAACGTTTCAGAAGTCTTGGACATGTTGCCTACATGTTGTTGCCTACTATGTGTACTTGTATGACTCACTGTAACAGCTTATACAGTAGAAGATACTGCTTCTATTACCATGTAGCACAGATCCCTGTTTACACAACAATGTGCTTTACAATTTCAAATAATAATAATTATTGCCATTTTGCAACTAGGAAGCAGAATTTCAAAGCCATCAATGAAGCTTTCATGTGGGAGTTGGAACTCATGTCCCTTACCTCCCCTGTCAACCACACTGGGTTTCACCTACATTTAGGTGTGTGTAGTCGTGTATATGCATGCCCATATGCACACATGAATGTGCTTTGAGATGAATATAAACAGCATAAAATGGACAGCTGCTAGACTAGAGCCACTGCCAGACCCATTTTTAAGTCTCTTATGCCTGATGCATGATTCATGAACAGATTTGCGATATCATAATCGTTATTTGGTTCCCTAACAAATACCTTTGGGCTACTTCACACAGTTCCTGCACAGGGTAATTTTCATGTAGGAAGCAAGCTGACGGCAAGTTATAGGACACCAATTGGCTAGACATTATTTGTTTAACACAGACCTGAAAAAATAAAACCATAATTCCCTAGCAACATCACTATATTAAAAAAGATACATAAATTCCAGGCTGCTTCCTGTGCTACTAAAACCAAGCTACCAGATTTGTTTTCTCCACTGAAGTAGTGCACAATCACAACTGTGTGGTAGATACCTGATCTGGAAGCTGATTATTATGCCTCCTGATCGGGAATGGATTTCCAGTGTAGCTTATGCAAGAATTAACATTTAATAGCCTCTTCTTGAACATTACTTTTTCTCTCACCTCCTCCTACAACTAATGCCACTTCGGCAATGCATAATTTTGTAGAGAAGTTTACTCATTTCTTGACTGACTTATTATTTAGGATATCTGCAGCTGGTAATAGTACTGGCTCTCTGACTCCAACAACCAGAATCTGCATCAAGTCAGAACATTTCCTGGATGCCAAGAAACTTGTCCAGCTACCTTCGCTGAAAAGACATTTGTTCCCAAGTCTTACTAACCCACAGGGTGGAATCTAATAACATTTGCAAACCTAGCAGTCCATGTGAGGATACAAACTTTAGTCCAACCATGAGATTTAAGTTAGTCCTGGCAACTTGTCTCACTGATTTCAATGCAAATAAAACATGACCAACAGTCTGGATCCAATCTATAGTAGTCATATGGAATCAAAGCTCATGCCACCTTTTGAATGAACATGTTTGAGTTCAGCATATGGATTTGAAAATGGTAAGTATTTCAAAGAAAAAAATCTGAGCAACACAAGGACAGCCATAGTGGTCAGACCAAGAGTCCATCTAGTCCAGCGTTCTGTTCACACAGTGATAAATCATCTGCCCACAGCAAAATATTGGTGCAAAGACACTCTTCCATCCAAGTTGCCCAGCAACTGGTAGCCGTGATTGTTTTATAGGAGAGATAAGTTGCCATGCAGTGTATTTCACTAGCTAAATCCTCACTGCAGGGGATGGAAACTGTTCATTCATCTGCCATCTGAAGTTGTTCACTCTGGTACTATACATCTGTGCCCAAACCAGTATATCCAGCGACAAACTGACAGAGTTCCCAAGTGGGTTTCATAACAATTAAATGGAAATTACTACAAATTAAGCTCTTTCCTAAATCAGCCTCATCAGACCCCTGCAGTAGACCAGGTTTCTGTATATTACATTATTTCATATGAATAAGCATAACGGCCTCTTCTGTCTTCTCCCTTTCCCTTCATCAGGGGAGAGAATCACTTTCTGAATCTCTTTTCAAGCAAATTACACTGAGAAAGGGGTGGGTGGAAGAGAAGCAAAGCAGTTCATGATTAACTCACTACTAGATGGCAGGCCTATGGGGCCCACAATCTAATCCCCATGAACAGATGGTTTCCGGGTTAGATTTTAATTAAGGAAAATGCAGACACACACCATTAAATTTATGTGCAATCCTATAATCTGGCATTTAGGAATTCATTCATACTGAACAGTTGGTTAATATGCAATGCCATCCTTTTATTTCAGCCTTTTCTGCTGCCTCACAAAGGCAAAACTGGTTTGGGACTGGAGAATCATTTGATACGCGGACATCCAATGCCGATCATTGCTATTTTCATAGTTCTGAATGTTAGAGATTTCCGTGCTGCCCTCCAAAACTTCTCAGTTGTCCTTGGGTCAGACTCACAAGCATGAGAGCTCCATTTCTACCCCAATTAGTTCCCGAACCTTGTTTAGCTCTTCTTTGAGGAAGAATTGCACCATGAAGTCATTCATGCTTTATAGCATGGGGTGCTTCTCTTCTGCAGAAAAGCTTTTCATTCCTGAGAGAAATACCGCTTGCATCACATTTCCCTTGAGGCCATCAGGGGACAACCATCACACATTGTAATCTGGGGACTTCCCTTGTGGCTGCCTCAGCCGGATTTGTAATGTTGAAAAAGCACCCACAGTCACATGGAAAAAGATCTGCCAGAGGTTGCGCAGTTCATAGAGATACATATTGCATAAGCAGATCAAGCCAAATGTTAGGAAGGATTTGATATTCCTCCAACCTGTACAATATACAAACAGATAGCACTGCAAAGAAAAAGAAAATTGTTAGGGTTCCGTGTCATTCTTGGGGCCTTCTTAGATTTCTGCAGCAAGAATGTAATCCTGCATTCCATACATACGTAACAATACAAGGCCAGCAACTTTTGATATTACTTTGACCAATTTCTGAAATAGCTTGAGACAAAGTTTTGAAGGTAAATTCATCACTCATTTTGTACTGTGAAACCACACACATTTATTTTATTGTTCTTTCCTTGTAGTACAGTAGGATCTAAATGTTCTACATAGCAAGGTGGGAAGTTAGGAGACGTTCATGGTGCAGCCTGGGCCAACTAGCTTTTAATGTTACTTCTAATGTTATAATTCCAAAAAATATGGCGCACAGTGAAATTTGATGTAAAATAGCAACAGATTCTACAGTAGTATGTGGGCTATTCTGAGAATGTGACATGCCCTTTCACTTCAGCACCCAGAAGTGAATACTCTTGAAGACAGAAGCAAGAAATCATTGCGGTCAAACACTGCAACCGCCACTTACATGCATTTTACCTCAAGCAGTGAATCTCCCCATTCATAATACACAGCAACACCAGTGCAAAAGTTGAAGTGTCTCCTCACAATACACTTCCTCTCAAAAAAGTTAGTATGGTATGATTTGGGATAATGGTCTTAGCTTTAAATACAGCAAATGAAGCCGTACTTCCCACTAGTCAGTCATCTGGAAATATGGTGATCCAATGCAGACTTGAGCATAGGAATGACCACTGAAATTAATGAGTCCAAGCTTGCTTAAGCCTGCATGGGATTGCCACCAAAGGGAAATCCATTATTTACCAAATATGATAACTGCCAGCAGCTTGTGCACAGAGGTTTGCAGATATGGCAACAGCAGAGTGCAATATAATGCCCATATTTGAAGAAGCCTGTTTTAGATTCAGAGCAAAATTTATGCATAACTGGTAGAATCACTAACTGCTTAAAACAAGACCACACTGTGGGTGCTGCTGCAAACCACCACCCACTTTTTTTGCAACATATAGCACTCTAGGAGAATTTCAAGAAAAGCCAAGTTAGAGCCACTGATTACAGTTAAACCACTCTCGCTTTAACTCAGAAGAGAACCGTGAAGTAAATATATTAGCAGTCAATTCATTTCGGATTCAGGAGGTTTAACAAAACATAATCTTAGTCATTATGAACTAAATCTTCTAAAGATCATCTTAAAGGGGTATTTCCTACCTGATACAAACAAGCTGCTGTTCCGAGAAAAAAGGCAATAACGTAACTAAAGTCTTCTCCTTCATTCTGAAAATAGATTTATAAAATAGCATTTTCAGATTATTAAGTTCCATATTATTATGTGAGCCATCCTGAGATGCCACGCATATGGGATGGCATATAAAAGTTTTAATTAATAAATATTATGCAGACATGCTCTTATATAATTTATGCACAGTAACTAAAATACTGTTTACCATGATTTCTCCCCAGTGTCTCGATTGGGTTTTAACAAAGATCAGTTTCAACAAAATTACCAACCAGCTTTCCAGAATTCTATTTCGTCTTTCCCATATGGAGACTGAGAGCATCCTAGATTCTTAAAATATCAACACCTTGCACATTTCCTGATTCAGAGAAAGAGAGCCACACAGTGATCTCTCTAGATCAGGAACCAAAGGCATAAAGTAGTTGATGGCCCAGCTTTCCAGGGAATATGTATTTGGATATGTGTATCTTCCATCCAACCCTCTTCAGGAGTAATGGTCACATCAGCAAAAAGAGAATGGGTCTTATTAATGATGATGGGGACGGAGAAACTTCTGAAGGACAGCTACTGGGCAGCAGTGGTAGCTGAAGGCAACAATGGCAGAGAATCTTTTGCACACAAAACAGTGGGCAGGACATTTTGGACAACCTTCATTCATGCGGTGACCGTTAAATTGGACATGACTTGATGGCGTGTAAGAACAAGAACAAATCTTCCATTCATACTCAACAGAGGTAGACTGGGACACTCAGAGTAAGTATCTGAAGAGATCTCAACATATTTGAAGCTGTCAGCCCTGATGTCATGTTATGTAAAAGGCGTTATAATCAAGGCAACAATATTATATGGATAAAAATAGGCAAAAACTTAATGATACATCTGAGCATTGTTATTTTACATTTACTAAAATTGGCCTCTTGGATTTTCCTGTTGGATCAATTTTGCAATTGTGCAATAGGTACCCTTAGGTACAAAGTAGGCATGGCAGATCCATCTCTACAAATGCAGAACTCCAGGAACTCCCCCAAAACAACAGGTGTGAAACGCTCATTCCATCCATGGCAGACATATTGGCAGTCCGTACCCCAGCCTTGATTTTTTCACAGCAGTTGGCCGGAAAAGAATCAAAGAATGGGAGACTGCCTATGAAGACATAAGCCTTCAGATGCAGTGGACGAAGGAGTTACGTTTCCCATACCTGTTCTTTGGCTCCTAAAATTGAGCACGCCTACAATCCCTCCCTTTAAGGGACTGCTGTCCTTAAAAAGACTGATCACCATCTCATCTAGTCTGACCATCACATACAGTTGCTTGGTTCACTGAGAACCATGTAAAATACAGTATATCCACTAGATGGCACTATGTTCATACAAAGGAAAGTTTTAAAGGAAAGGGGAAAACAAAAGGCATGAAAAGGAACTCATCAGCCACCAGATGGCAACAGGAATTCTTTTTAATGAAGAATAAGATAATTTCCTTCAAGCTTGCATATCTAATACAGATGTAGACAAGTGGGTGCCCTCCAGATGTTTTGGGTTACAACTCCTAAAACCCCAGTTCACTGGCTATGGCTTATGTGAGCCATAGTCCAAAACATCTGGAAAGGTACCAGGTTGAAGCCAATTGATCTTGTTAACAGCTCTAAATAGTAAGTTGGGGCTTTATGTCAAATGCTTGACAGGTCTTGTTATTTTAACTTGTGCTGCCTATTGCATTTTTAAATTTGGATTTAAATTAAGTTTTTAAATTTTGTAGTGAAATTTTATGAAGCATTACCTGTATTTCATATCACATTTTATATGTTTCTGTAAACAACTCAGAGAGTTTTCATTATTGTGCACTACAGAAATAAAAATTAATCACCACCACCATCTAGGAACTCCATGGGAAGCAGTCTTGGATCAGGAAGTTCTGAATTCCAGTTCCTCAAATACAATGAATTTGCATCACAACATTTCTGGATTTCGAGCCCATGTGTATAACATGTACATACAGCAACGAGATGATGTAAGCTGCCTTGAGCCCTATGTAGGAAAAAGGCAGGATATAAATCTCAATATAATATAAATATAAATAAATATTGGGAAAGGCACCGGGTCAGCTCCATTTGATCTTTTGACAGCTTTAAATAGTATGTTGGGGCATTGTGTTTGCTGCTTAGTGGGCCTTGCTTAACAGGCCTTGCTTACCAATTCTCCTAAAAGTTGTTTAAATTTGAATTTAAATTTAGCTTTTTGATTCTGTGGTGAAATGTTGTGATGTTGTCATTGTTACCTTAGCTTCTCAGGATCATCTGACAAATTTAATCTCTTTAAGGCTTTTGTTTTTCCGTAACAAGGCAACTCCATCTCTGTGAGCTTTATTCCCTGCATAAAAAATTGCATTTTGTGTGCATTTTTGGCACATGCACCAATAGACTAGATGTTTCCACTCATTTTAGAAATATATTTTTATTTGCACATTTTTAAAATGAGCATATTTTTTCTCAGAATGCATCTCAAGCTCATCAACTGTATAAGTTTCCAACTGTGTAACAAAAAAAATCCTTCAACAAAGATTTTTCAGCTGCTCCTCATCTAGATTCAGCTTTCCCATCCCTGGATAATGCATCACTGGAACAACATGAGTCAGGACCACCAAATCATGAACTTTCACTACTGTGCATTATATGCAGGGAAGCTCACAGCATGATAGCGAGCAGGATTTGGTGGCTGAGAAACACATGAGAGGATTCCAGTTCCCTTCCCAGTCCAGCACTTCATTCCAGACAAGGGAGCTCACAGTATAATGGCCCCAAAAGAGTTTGTGAGAGGATGTGGAATACACGAGGAAGATCCCAGCTGGGGTTGTGGAAAGTTTAACAACTCTGTAAGAAACTGATTAGTTTCATTTCACAAAAACAACAGACATGTCCCATTAAGGAGTTCTCTCCTGGTTCAGCTTTCCTATAAAAAAGGGTGAAGTATAGAACAAGTCCGAAGTATGGGACCAATAGAACACTCTCCTGCTCCATTCAAGCTGTTTGTGAAGCTTGAAAGCCAAAGGGGCAAGTGGCTCAGCTCAGGAGGCCAAGCGCAGCCTACAGACAACAGCCTGCCAACCCACACACTTGTGGCAAAAAAATAATATTCTTCTTACCCTCATAGTCACTGTGAGAACATTTAACAAAGAAAATTACAGACCATTGTCATGTTTCCTGGTACAAAGTTATTTGCATGGCTACAGTACCTGCACAAGACTCTCTATAGCATGGAAACCACGAATTAAATTCAAAGCACCACATAAAAGGCTGAGTACAAAGGAAACAATCCCTGACAGCGACACAGGTTCCAGTCGTTGGTGAGGGGCTGAAAGTCAGAAAGAAGAAAACGCTATAAATATTCATGTATTATATGAAGATGTTGGCTTTAATGCTTCAGCAAAAAACATCAATGCTACTTTTCAGGCCCTTTCCCTGCTCAAGTTCATCTAACTTAAATGGGGATACATGTAAGCACAACAGAAATTGTAATCCACCAGGCACAGCTATTGTGCAACTCCCTTTTCATTTCTTTTGAAGTTAATAGCATCATTTACATAATTGAGTATATATAGCATATACAACTGAAACCTGTAAAAAGGGTAAAGCTAAGTTTGCAGAACACAGTGGCAACATATATTTTGTGCTAGTTAAATCTGATTTATGAGGCCTCACTAAATGTTAATATTGGACTAATGCTGCCAAGCTGTTCAGGACTAGACTTGGATTGCTGGAATACAGCATTAAATGTACAAAAGTAACAAAATAGCTGGTAAAATTAGTCCACAATTAGCCTTTGGGTAGTAAATCAAACTCTTGAAATAGTGGTCTCAATGTTTTATTTACTAAAGTGTGCTTCCTCTCTGAAGAGTGATTTAAAGCCTATGTTAAACATCAAGGATGTATGATTTACTTTCCCTCTGAAGAGAGATTTAAAGCCAGAGTTAAATGTGAAAGACAATCCTAAGTGACTTATTTCCAAGTAAGAGTGCAGAGGATAACAACCTGAACCTATGCAATTTTAATTATTGTCAACAACACTGAATATTATGAAAAATAATTCATTCCAAACTTAACAATACATCCTTCACTGACATCCCAAGAAGTAATGAATGGGGGCCTTTCATCTTTTAAAATACTGCTGACTTCATTTAATCCATGAACTTTGTATGTCAGTTTAACTCCAGTATCTGTCACTCTTTAATCCTTTAATCAGCTGCTCCTTTATGGACTGCATGCCAAATAAACACTACTCATCTTAATGGGCTTCCTCCCAAGTAAGTATGCATATGCATTTACTTATTTATTTCATAAATAAATGTACACTGAATTGCAGCCTTAGCATATTGGCTAAACAGGGTGTGGTGAAGTACAATCCAGACTACCTACAATCCTGTTAGGTAGGCTAACAGACCTGTAACAGCTTCCAACACCACAACTAGCTTGCCCCTTTAATCCATAAAAGGTCCTTATAAACCACACCAACAATGAAGAGGAAGAAATAAAAGTTGTGTCCGTGCAGTGGGGAGGGGGGCTTGAAAGTGAGCATTTTGGAGGCATTCATTCAGGGTTCTGAAGAGTCAATAGCATACACAAATGGCTTCCAATTCCTAGTGAATGTGCGTACAAGCCGTTACTGTGCTATTCCACAACAAGGGACAGAAACTGAAAATGAAAAAACAAGGCAAAATCCACAGTAGTCTAGGCAACACAGAGAGAGTGACAATAAGGTTACTGAACCATATTTAAATCACTCTGTTTAAATCAGTGAAGTGTAGAGGTGCCAACAATGAAGTTAATGAGCTGGAACATTAATATAGAGAGGGGTGTCATTCTGCGTTGTTTGCACTGAGCAGTTGCAGCAGAAAAGGGCTCTCTAAAGCAGTTCATAAAGTCAAAGAAAGCCCAGGAGTAACACAGGGAATTTCTCCAGAAGAAGAGAACTATACTGTCTGAGCATCATTGTTTCCAAACTTTATAAGAAGTGCACTTTATGTTTTTCCTAAAACTAATTGGCACACAGTAATATGTAATTAGAAATTACCGGTTGGGAAGAGAATCTTAAAAAAAAACCAAAAACCAACACACACACACACACACACACACAGAGCTTCCCATTTAAAAAGCATTTCTGTTCTAAACCAAATGTCAGAATTAATCAACTAGGGGTGATTCTTTTAATGGACACCAATTTCAATTAGAACTCATTCAGTTCTTTGTTGAATGGAGACTTGTTTCCTTTGATACCCATGCAGTAATGTTTAGGTCAGCACCTTATACTTTAGACAGCACTAAATATTTTGTGGGTTTTCTGGTTTGTTGTGCTTATGTTCACGTTAAGAACTTCGTTGGCCACACCAAAGTGGAATTTCATTATTTCATCAAAACACTTAGAGCTCAAACTGCACAAAGCCTCGGGATCAAACTGAATGTAGCATCTCACTGGCATTGTTCAGCCTTGCATGGCTGATGCTTAGGGGCAAGCACACCAAATCTTTATTAGAAAATGAGAAAAGGAGATACACTAACCCTTCAACCCTGCCATGGTCCCAGTTCTTTCAGCATCTATTATTTGCAATGGGGCATCTATTATTAATGCCCCACTGTGAATAGCAAACCTGTGCCTGGGACCATAGTGAGAATAAAGGGTTAAAGTTTTCCTCTGCCCATGCCATGTTCCTAGTCCATTTTACCACCAACCCTCCAAACTATCAGTAAATGTAAAAAGTCAGGTGCTTGAGCCCAAACAATGTGGGCATGTGAACTCTAGTTTGGTCCCCAAGACTTTCCAGAAAAATACAAGCAATATTATATCATATCTGGATGTTCCAGAGGATTTTTATACTTAGGACAACAAGCTTACCTGTAGATATTTTCCCGGTACCTTTATACTCTGGTAGAGCTATATGTGGATAACCATTGGCTGAACCCAATTCAGACAAAGAAATTTGATACGGTGGTCTCAGCCTAATTTCTGTCTGCATGTCAGCAAGGTTTATTTTTGTAGACAGAGACCGTGGGTTATTATATCTTTGCTTGGTCCTCTGAATGAAATTATCTGTGTAAAATTAAAACAAACCCTCTTAGATTTTATGAATAAAATCATTTGCGACCCCATGGTTTTATAGGCAATATGTGTCTTGGATACATGCATTTAAATTCATTATTTGAAACTCCATTGTGGTAGGTTTTAATACTGTTGTTGCTTTATAACAAATATATCATGGACTAATTAATTCTGCAGTATTAAAAATTAAATGCTAGAAATCTAATTATGAATAAACTAATGTCTCATGCACTGGCAACCCTGAAAAGACAGCTAATATAGTTAATGAATTGAATTTTGCTTAGCTTTTCTTGTAATGCAGAATACATTCTTATTAAAAATAAGGGTTTGTTCCAAACACAAGCCTGTTCTTTTTTAATGCCATTTGGCACACAGAACCACAACATATATAAAGATGAACGTCTTTTCTAAACAAAGTGCAGCATCACCACCTGTAGCTTAGCAAGAGGAGTGTCTTCCAAGGCCTTTTCCTTTCTAATTATCCTCAGGGCTTCTAGAATTACTTCCTAAATTTCTTGGAACTCCTAAATGCTTCCTCCCTCAAACCTAAAAATTACAGAGACAAATGTGTTTACTGTGCAATGCTATACATGCCTACTCCAAAGTAAGTCCCACTGGGTACAGTGAGGATTACTCTAGGCTAAGGCTGTTTAGGACTGTAGCTCTACAGAAGATACAAATTATTATTTTGAATGCAGAAGATACTTATAGCCATAAAACAAAGCAGAGCACAGGTCATAGAAAGCAATGTCAATATCTGCACAAATACTGATATTTTCTGGCTGCTAATGCTCCAAAGGCTTATTCCACTCTATCTTCAGAACTTCTGGAATTCCAAGACTAAGACTCCGGATGTCTAAATTCTCCCTCCTTCAAATCTCTTCCTTCTCCAGTTGCTGAGGTCTTTTGAGGACTGCCCATTAAGCATGTGAATTTTTCAAGATATTTTTAATGCCACCCACCACCGTGCCACTTTCACACACTAACCTGTTTTAATACTTTATCACAATTTTGAAACATATTCCCAACCTTAATCTCTTTTTTTACAACTTGGTCACATCCTCATTCCTTTTGGAGTGTGATATATTTTCTGATTGGTCTCATTATACAACTTAGCTTATGTCAGAACAAGTAAGACATCACCGAAGCACACTTTTCATAAGTGTAATCTAGAATCAAACTATCTGGACTCTGATGTAGGGGACTTGGTTACTCAACTGTTTGAGAAGGGTTCATTATTCTGCTACAAAAATATGAATTAAAATAAATATCTAGAACATAACCATGTAGTCTTTCATATCTGCCCTTTCTGCATTCACTCCATAATGCTAAAACTATGTACTTTTGCTACCTTATTATATTTATCAAAAGATATACCGTATTTTTCGCTCTATAAGACGTGCCTGACCATAAGACGCACCTAGTTTTTAGAGGAGGAAAACAAGAAAAAAAATATTCTGCATCAAATGGGCACATAATCACAGGCACATTCCCCATCACTTCCCCATGGGCTGCACATCTGACAGACTTACTGCACACACATATTCGCTCTATAAGATGCACAGACATTTCCCCTTATTTTTTTGGGGGGGGGAAGTGCGTCTTATAGAGCAAAAAATACGGTACATCATGCACTTTCTGTTCCATTGTACAATTGTTCGCACTCATTAAGTTATCCCTAATAGTTTCCATGGCAAAAAGTAACAAAATACAAAAGCGACTAATATAAAAGAAGCTGCAATTACTTTCTCCAAACAAGTAACAGCTAAAAGAGATTTATTTAAAGTGAGATAGCAACTAGCAAACATATGAAAACCAAGCCATGAGGAAGCCCAGATACCCCAGGATAAACTAACCCTTTCTAACATATATTTGGCTTCCTAAATGGGGCCAGGAAAAGTAACAGATTCCTTCAAAGAAATTATGATGCATCAGAAAGGTTGCTGGAAAAAGAAAGAAAGGAAAAAAGGAAACTGAACTAGTCGTATAGGTGATTAGAATTTCACTTTCTTCAACATATTTGAAAAGTTTGTAGATGTTTCTACAGAATCCACAGCAACAGGCACTACTGTGCTTTCTGCCAGAGAACAAGGATCACTGCTTAATAGCCTGAATAGCCTAGACCCACCAAAGCACCTTTTCCTATATGATCTGTCTACTTTTAGTGCAGAAGTTATGCTGATTCAGATTCCATCTCCACTGGAGGGTCACTCTGTATTTCTAGAAAACAGGTCCTTCTTGATCGCAGCACCACCTTTTGCAAGCATCTTCCGAAGGAGGCTTGCCTCAACACACCTCTCTAAAGTTTTATGATGCAGGATTATGGTTTTTATTTTGTCAGCTATGACCACCACTAGTGGAATGGCAACCATTGGCAGAGCACTCTTCCTCTCTCCCATGTAAGCCTCTCATGAAACCCCCAAATCTGCTGAAAAACGTTTGAGAACCCTCTGAAGCAAATCTGGATGGTACACATAGGCAGGACAGGAATGGTAACAGAGATCTGCTAGCACAATGCTGTAGTTAAGCTTATGCCACAGGATAAGTCTGCAGATCAAACAATGGCCAGGTTTAGGCTGTAACAGCAAGTACTGATTTAGCCAGTTAACAAAAGGAATGCAGAATACAAAATACTATTGGTTACCACTTTGGAATAAAAAGAGGTATTATACATTTAAAATCTAAAATCATAACAGATATAAGGAAGTTAAGTGATCAATCCCTTACCAAACTCGATGAAACAGTAAGGTCTAACAGCAGTATTTGTCTTCATCATGTTGTATGTGGAAATGAACTCCTTTTGAAGCTCATCAAGGAAGCAGAAGGCCAGGACATTGGGATAATTTTCTGTGCAGAGCATCATGTAACTCACGCCCAGTGAACTAATAAAACTATATTTAAAATACATATACATATCACTTCTTAAAATTAAATCATGCAAACACAGCTTGATGTAAAGCAGCTCTGTATGCCATAACAAGAAAAAATATGTCATGGACACATTGCTATTAATAAGAAACTGTCCCACTATTTCCAAGGAGAAAAGGGAATTTGCTTTGTAGGCAATGTCCTTCCATCAACAATGAGTGACCCATCTCCCATATGTCTAACACACATAAAGGAAGACAAAAAGTTGTCCCTTTTGTGAGAGGAAGGCAGAAACAGATGCATGTTTGATTTACTGGTTATGCATAACAGCATCAGCAGCACCTTTCCAAAAAGCAAAATACTATCTCTTCAAAATTATATATATGGGCTAGAGAATGAAATCCTTCCCAGCAACCATGCTTTTTCATCCCTGTCCAGAGATGGCATTAAGAAAAGTCATCAGAAGCAGGAAAATTTCCCCATCTCTAATTGAAATTCTGACATATGCTTACATTCTTCATTTATTAAACATTCCATTAAACAACCACATTAGTACACCATTTCCTTATGCAATTCAAAACAGTAACTCTATGACAATTTGAAGTGCACAACATGCATTGGGGAAAATGAGCAGCATCAAGTCATTCCACAAGCTTAAATTCCAGAGCTAGCAGAACTCTGCTGAATTTTTCTGTTATGCAAGCAGTTGTGCAAGTGAAATGCACAACTGACCATACAACAGGTTCCCAAGAATTAGGAAGAACTGTTCACACAAAAGGTTGCCCAAGCAGAATTGGTTGCACAATGGCTTGCATGAGCATCATGTGCAACCTCACACAAATGTAATTTTAGCTGATTCTTCTCTTGCGAAAAGTTTGGAACAGTCTCCACTAGCGTGGAGTGCTAATGGAAAGACACAGCTGAATGCTACCCATTACAAATAAGTAGGCTTGGCATGCCTGCATTCTTTTTTTTTTCTTTTGTTAAGTCTCAAATATTTATCATCTAGGGAAGTTCACTTATAAAGAATCAAAGCTACATTTTTTATGAAAATGTGCAGGATGTTCTGGAAAAATTCTCAGCCTTTCTTCTTTTTACTTATCTGAACAAGAAATATGGAAGAGGTCTAAATAGTCTTATTTGTGTGTTTGTATGTGTCAGAGAGAAGATACCTGATGGAACCAAGTTTATGGCTGGAGGACTGCTAACTTCAGTCCGGAATCATATATTCCATCATGATAACAACACTTTTTTTCTTTCATGACTTCAACATTTCCAGAAATCTTTTTGGAAAGTAAAGACTCAATAGCAATATACTATTGAACACTATATATTAAATATTTTAACAATAATTCTAAAAAAACAATTATCTAAACCTTTCACTTTGCAAAATTTTCCAAAAAAAAGGGAGTGGCAGAAGGAAGGTTGAATTCTTCTGTGCCTTCACATCCCTAACCACAAATCTCATTCATTTCAAAGACCTGCTGTAAGCATGGCTAAGTCTGGAAGCAACATAAAATATCTTGAATTCAGTAGGGAAAAGCAAGAAAAGCTGTTGGCCACAGTAATCCACTACTCCAGAAAAGTCAGGTGCGATCCCACGTGAAGCTAGTCAATAAAGAGAACAAAATGGCATCACATGTGGCTGCACACCACTGTCCCATCCCCTTCGCGTGGCACATTGTACCACATATTAAATGCTATGATATGAGATCATTCCATAAAGAGAAAACATCTCCATTTCCAGAAAAGTAGTAATAATGCTAGGCAGCCAATGCTATACTGAGATTCATTCTGTACAGCTATATCAGTGGGGGCATTGTTTGATTTGCCTTTTGAGTAATTTGCCATTGTATTAAGCAATAGTGAAAGATGTCTTAATAATGATGGATTGATAGCTAGATCATTTTATATACCATCTTCTGACCCTAAAAAGGATGTCCAGGATGGTTTGCAACAATTAAAATTTCAACATTATTAAAAAGCAAAGAGCATTAAAAGACATAATAAAAAGAGACAGACAGACAGATGGACACTGGCTGGGGAATGCTGGGAGTAGTAGGGGTTTTTTTCCTCAGCATGTATTAGATTGTGCCTTAAAAAACCCAAATCATTTCAAGGAGCCAGCACTGCAAAGAGTCCCCACCAGCTTCACATAGCTTGTCACTGGAACCCAGAGCAGCGCTCTGAAAAGACTATAGGTGGCAGGCATGTTCACTGGGGCAATTACAAAATTGTATTAGGGCTTAAAGCAAAGGGCTTTTTAAAGCAATAGGCTGGTCTCCTCACAGCTGTTCTAGCAACTAGCAATTTTATATAAAGCAACAGAGAACAAAGTTGCAGGGAGAAGGCAAATCCCACAGAAAACTTACTTTATATTATACTGTCCTGTTTGCAGTGAGCATCTATCTGGAAGCTGAGTGAGTCTCTTTGAGAGAGTTTTGAAGTACTTTCTGCATTCCTGAACACCAACACTTTGCTCATAATCAGTAGAGGCTGACAGAGGGAGTCCATCTCTTACACGGACCACTGAGGCAGACAGGATCATGGACATTGCAAATAGACACAATGAAAATCTAAAAGAGAACATATACATAAACATTTGTTTAGCTTTGCTTTCATTTTTTGCATCTGGAGCCCTCATTAGCCAGTAACAGATATGACTGAATTAGCCTTACAGTTGTCCAAAGCGACAGGCCCAAAAAGTATCTACTAGCTGACCTACCCATATATACTTTGCAAGTCATTCACACTACACTAATAGCATAAGGGTGCAATCCTGTGCCCTTGATGCATGTAAACCTCCAAAGTAGGAGGCATATAAGCATCCTATGCCCACAAGAAGGTGTGGTGGTCCCTGCCACTGCTGCACCATTTGCTGGGTATTTTATCTTAGATGGCTGTTTTGAGCCATCTAGATTGGTGGGCAATACTGTCCTGCTGGGAGCAGTGGAAAGATCCAGGAAAGGGCAGTGAGTAAAAAGAGGACTACACTGGGCAAGATTACAGGTAGGTCCCAGGTTACAAACAACAATCCATACTTACAAATGCATGGAATGCCATAAACCCTATATGAATATCTCTAGAAAAAGCCATGGATATCTCTCAGGAATGATGTGATGCGCCATCAGTGGCTGCACAGTTCCTAGAGATATACATGGCTTTTCATTAGAGACAGACATTTCTAGAGATTGCCAAAACTACCTCTACAGAACTATACAACATGTTTAGATATGTGTCATCAGTCATCAGCCTAGTTCCTTAGAGATAGAGAATTCACTGCTTTTCTTTCCACAGTATCAGCCTGGGCATGCCCAAGCCATTGTGTTTCGGGATGCAGGTAAGGTATGTAGTTCCCCTTGGTTTTTATTTTAGCATTTGCCCTTATAACCAGACCCTCAGCTGCCACAAAGCCATTTATAATTAGAAAAAGAAAACAGTTGTACAAACAACTCTTGGGACTTACTTCAAGAAAGTGACTCCAGTGGTAACCCATCCCCTGCCTGCTCTCCAGCAGCACAATCAAATTCTGACTCTCCAGCACCAGGTTCATCTCCATCATTAGTTAATATTAATATTACCTCAAGAATGTTCTAAACTGTTTCTTTTGTTTTTTTACAATACTGTATACCTACACACATACATAGAGATTCTCTCTTCAGTACCTTTAGATACTTTATCATTATTACAATGTTTCAGATAGTTTAGTGAATATTGAAGTGTTTCTTAAGTGTTTTATATGTATAGAAAGTGAAAATATATACATATACTACAACAAACATTTGGCTTACTAATGTGATTCAACTTACATACAAATTCGACCTAAGGACGATCTCAGGAATGGAACTTGTCCGTAACCCAGGGACTACCTGTACAGATAACTACCACAAAAGAAACAAAGAGACCAAAAAGACAAACGTTTGTTAAATAGGACTGTTGAGGAGCCTGCCTCGCCCCTTTCCCCACAGCCCTGCAAGCCACCATGACCCCAGTGCTCCCATCCTGATGCTCTGGTGAGATCGGGGATGAAGGAGGGAGAGGAATGAGAGGCTGAGCATGCTGTGACACAGCTGCAGCCAGGTCCCTGTTCCCCACAGGGCCTCTTAAGCCAGCTGGTGTCCAAGGCATCCACACCTGCTTCATCATCATCACTGCCACTGCTGCCAAGGACCATTGAGGAGTCTGCCTCACCTCCCTGAAGCCCCGCAAGCTGCTATTCACAATGAGAGTGGGGATGGGGGACAGGAAGAGAGAGAGGCCAGGCAAGGAAGGAGTATTAATTCACCTAAGATATGACAACCCTACCACCTCTAATACATAGAAAAAGGCACGAGGGCACTAGGGTTGCACCCAAGTGGAAAGGGAGCAGCAGCCTTAAAAAGTTTGGGGACCAATGATCTAGATAAAACACCAGGAAAGGGAGGGGAAGGGGAGGGGGAGGGGAAGGGGAGGGAGCTAGGGCACTAATAGGAACCAGTGTACATCTCAGTCCCAGCACCCTCAACTCCCCATTCCCAAACCAGGTCCCCATTTCCCCTCCCTGAGGTCCAGCTGCAACCAGGGGTGGGGGAGCAGCCACTATGGTTCTTTCCATGGAAGGTGTGAGGGGGAAGGCTCAGGCCTTACAGTCTTAGACCAGGACTGCTAGATCTGTGAAGAATTCTGTGGCCAGCCAGACAAAGCTTGGAGAAAAAATAAGTTCTCCAGTGGATGCCACAAGACTATCACGAAGGGGTCAGACAGGGATCCTTTGGATGAAGCAGCCAAAATAAACCTGTCCCACATCCCCACCATTAAGCCTCAGATCAGAAAGAATTTAAGCAGCAGTAACTTATAATCCCAGATAAATATGGGAGAAAGAGGCTTTCCAGCTGCAAGCCACATTGGGCTTTATATGCCAGCTGTAGCATTCTGAATTGAGCTCAGAAACTGACTGGAATCTACTGTAACTCCAGTTTCTTTTTGAATGTCTCTAGTTTGGGAGAGTTTCAACAGCTTCCCTGGGAGACAAGTTAGAGCTGTGCATCATCTACACACTGATACCACGGCAATCTGAAATTTTGACATACCTCTTTCAGTTATTTCATTTAGATGTTAAATAGCATGGTAGAAGAGAACTCTGCTGTGCACCATAAACCAGTAGCCACAATGCGAAGCAGGCATTCCTAAGCACCATCCAGATTGTAAGGATCAGAGCCACTGTAAAACAGTGCCTTGAAGTATTATCACAGGCAAACCGCCCCAAAAGATACTGTGGTCAATGCTAGTTTGGGCAGAACCTATCACCACAGACTCCCTATGTCTAATTTTTGACACAGCTCATCTACAAATACAACCCAAGTTGTCTCATTTCCAACCCCAAGCCAGAACCAAGACTGAAGTACACCCACCAAATGTTACAAGAACAAACTACAACATGTGTAAGTTGCCCTATTATAAAGAGAGTTGTGACAGGATCACCTAAAATACTTGAAGAAGGCAGAAGATAAGAAGTTGTGGTGAGCTTACCAAGAAGTACAGTATTCAATGAAAAAGAAATTCAGTAAGTTCCACAAACACATAAGATAAGACAAGGTGACTACATGGGTTGTTTTAGAAAACATACTAAGGATTAGTGACTGTTCCAAATAGAGCTCCCTGTGGCACCACCTAGTTGCAACTAAGCATCAAAAGAGAAATGTAGAAGAGAGAGCCTATCAGTAGTATCTATCATTGGATCTCAGCATTATCCAACGTCTACAGCAGTCCAACCTTTCCTCCTCGACTCCATGTACACCTTAGCTTCATGCAGTTCTCATTCCTGTCACAATGCCTGTTCAAGATTTCCACTGAAGGAAAATCCAGCTCCCTCTCTAGCTTCTTGTCTCACTCAAGGGTTCCTGTCCTTAGTCCCCTGTAATTGTCTTTCTATAGTCTGTCCTTGAGTGGACACAGCATAACCTTCAGCCTTCGATATCAGGTATTCACAGGCAACATCTAGCCATACTTCCCTATACCACACTTTTTCCACACTGTCCAAATCCTCATTTTCACTTGCCTCCCTGACATTTCTAACTGGATGTTTCATCACCACCTCAAAGTAGTATGTGAAAGATTATTCTTTTGCCCTAAGTCTCCCTTTCTTCAATTTGTCTCCAACTCCTTTTATACCAGTCATCTCCAATTGACCACCACCCAGAAATTACAGGTTACAACTCCTGGCCAGGAATTATGGAAGCTATCTGGAAGATGCCAGGTTGGAAAGTCACTTTATACCATCACCTTTTTATTTAAAACACGCATATGTATGCACACAAATACTCCTTCTCTTTCACTTTGTAGTCCAGCTTTCACTTTGTAGTCCAGCTTTGTTGCTTGTCCATATTCAACAATGTAAGGTCCAAAAGGTAAGAGCAGACATCCTTGGGGAGCTTCAAAGAGAAGGGAATTGAAAGGTAGTGTTTTGGAGGATGGATGGTACACAGGATGATTCAAAAGATTCTGACAGTGGATAGAGAAGACAAGACTGAAGCAGGACAGGGGAAAGCCACAATTAGATGGCCTTCCATTCAAGTGAGTGAATTTGTGTGTGTGACTGGAAGAGGAGACGGTGAATGGCTTCTTATAACATGCTAAAGCACATGACTTCAAAGCCATGGCAGCTTAACATGTTCCTTGAACCCAAATGGGGTTACATGAATGGTTTAAGTTGAGCTTACAAGTTAACACAATCTCTGTGCCTTTCTGATCAAGCAGATCATGACAAGCACCAATGCATTGTGCCCAGTGGCATTTATAACCAATGCATTGGTTGTCACAAGATTCCTCACCAATGTGCATCACTTCATCTAGCCCTACTTATGGCTGGAAAAGGCAGAGCTTTTTCAGTGTTTGGTGTGCACCAAACTTCAAGCCCTTCAGAGGATTTGAGGGCCTTGCTTGCAGACACTGGCTCACCCTCTTCCCTCCCTCCCCCATTAATTGCTATTGCAGCAAGGCAGTCACATCCTCCTTGGCCTACTGCCATAGGACAGACCCAGAGAACAGGCATCCTTGCTCCACCCACTGGATCATGGTGCAATCACACTGGCAGGCAGGCACAGAGCGAGAGAAGATACAATCTCCCAGGACTATCCAGAAGTAGGACCAGAAGCATGCACCCCCATTTACCCACATCAATTACCTCATGGGATAAACTGCATGCCAGGCAGGAGGGTAGGTGGCCTGTTCTCCTAAGCCTCCCCAGAGGAAGGTCAAAAGAACACACTTTGCCCTTGCTACTGCCAGCCATGGTATTCTACTGGGATGAGCAGTGAAGAGGCTATGACAACTGCCTAAAAGTGTCACTTAGGCACTTTTAAGTAACTGTCGTTTCCATGCCACTTAGTGCTTCTCTGCAGTGTCTCCTGTGATATCAGCATGAGGACAGAGAGGGAAGAGGTGCATAAAGATCCATGCTGAGCCTGATCCCTGTTGGGTAAAGCAGGAGTCACAGCCTAGAGCAGCTATATAGCCAGTCAGATTTAAAATTTAATGTGAACCTACCAAGTATTACTCAAGTACAAACTCATTTTTAGGCTGCTTTGGGGGTTGTGCACTGATAACAGAATCTATTTATTTTACTTATTTTAAAAATATAGATGCTGCCGATTGCACCCATGACATCTCTAAGTGGCTAACAGACAATTAAAGCTATTATAAAAACAATAAAACAACAACTATACATTAATAAATATATAATCTGATGTGTAAATTACATCATTTTAAAATACAAATGGAGGTTAGGTGGCATCTAATGAACATTAAAATGTTTTTTTAAAAGGTAGGTCTTTACCTGGTGCCAAAAGGTGTACAAAGAAGGTGCCAGGTGAATCTCTTCAGGGAGAGCATTCCAAATGTGGAAAACAGCAGCAGAAAAGGCCCTCTTCCTAGCAGACCTCCTCCGCAGAGGAGCCCCTGCATTGATCTCAAAGGCCAGGTAGAACGTATTGCAAGTCTGTTTCTCTAGTATTTTTTTCAGCAGGATATTGTCAATAAGTTCGTTTAGTTCCAGTAACTGCCAAGAGGTTCATGGGAATTCACTTTATTTAGCATTTACCTAGCCATTTTAAAAACAACTGAACACACAAAACTAGGAATAACATAAAATAAAACAGCAACAAATTATTTCTCTTTATATTAAAAAAAAACCCCACTACTAGAATGTAACAAAGTATGCACCCAATTGTTGCAGAATGAAGTGCTCCTATTCAGGTTTCCAGTCAACCAGTGAAGGCCTCTTCCATCCCACATCTTCCATCAACTTTCTTTGATTATTGAGTATACTCAGTTTTCATTAGGATAAGTCTTTTATTTGTTAGAATTTTTTTCCTTAAGGGTTTTTGTAGTTTTGCACATCATGGAATTCTTCTGAACATTTCAACACTTTTGTTTCTCAATGGCTATTTTTTGCTTACAATGCTAGTGGCATTCAAAAGCTGAGTTTGCAGTTAGCATATACAAGTAGGGCCTGCAATGAAATGTTGTGGTATGGGGTCCTTCTGTTCAGGATTCCAGCCAACTATGTCTCTTTCAAGGATACTCCATTCCACCTTCACCCTTTTTCATTTCCCACTCCAACAGTCAGAAAGGATTCTATTGCCACTGACTATACTCAGTCTGCATAGGTTTGTTTTATAATAGTTCTCTACTGTTTATTTAATAGAGTTTCTCTTTATTTATTTGAGAAGTACTTCTTCGAACTTCTAAATTTCACCAAGCCTGCAGATGCCTCCTTTTTGTACATGGGTGATGCTCTTTCGGCTATGAAAGTATCAATATTGGAAAGAAAATTTGCTGTTAGCATTCGGGAGGATGATTTAGCCCTTAGAAATGTTCCTAGCCATTAGATGTATGATATTCCATAGTAAGTTGAAAACAGAGTTATTAAAACATCCATAATGCAAAATGTATCACAAGTAATAATTCTTAGTAGGCTTTTATAAATGCATACTAAAATGCCTTTGGTAAACTATCCCAAACTGTAATTAAGAAAGTTTCTCTTTAAAGTACTCATAAAATAAGAAACATGAAGCTTACCAAACAGGAGTCTTAGGGACATTTTTAGCATGTGCAGACTTCATGTTGTGTATGGCTCCACTCTTTGACAACAGCCTGACTTCTTCCAAGCTGTGAAGCTGCAGGGATGAGCAGGGATCATCCTGGCAATTGCATGGCAATCCCGATCATTACCCATCTCCAAATTGGAGAAAAGCCTGCAGTTGTTTGGAATCCTTGGGCCAAATGGAACCCTGGTTCCCACAACTGGTATCTCCTGCTGCAAACAGGGCAAAAGAATGCACACTGCTATTATCTTCAGGTGCTTGAAGTACACCAAGCCATCATGCTCCCCCTCCATGTGGGCCTTCCCCTTGGGAAAGGCCAAGGGTAAGGCTGTTCTTGGCTGCAGAGGAAGGGAGCAGAGGTTTGAAATGTTCCCTTTAAGAGCAACAATACTATTAAGATTGTCTCAAGATAATCTAGAATGTCTTAAGGCCAAATAGGGATGCAGATACAGAGCTCTCCACTAAATATGCAGTACACATCTATCAGTTTTTCTCTGCAGGAAACCATTGCCACACTAGACTTGTTACTCAGGACATAGTGGGAATCTGCCATGCAGCCAATATTCAGTTTCAGAAGGTGTTTTTGATGGGAGAGGGGGCTAAACTTGTTTTGTTTATGGTGTGGTGGGAACTGCTGCAAAGCTGGGAGTGTTGACTGTTCCCAGCAATTCTAGATCTCAGTACGGTGTTTTGCATTGTAAGTCATGTCCATGTCTGAAGAAATTAATTATTTCAAGGTCTATCAAGCTTATTATTATGTAAAGATTAAGAATACCTTAGAACTAAGATGGGAGAAGTTTAAATGATACAAAAATGCAATGTAACAGTATATAGCATAAAACACTAGAACTAGATCAGTTGTTCATGAGTTTAACTGCGCATATGCCAGTTTAGGTGAGCAGTAGCTCACAGATGCAAGACTGTGTTCCAACACTTCACTTAATAAATTGTATACTATGTAACAATTACCCTAGTATAAAATGTCCATAAACTATGCCTTGATACTAAAATGCATAGAAATAGCTGTCCCCTCTGTGACCATTCAAAAGATTTTTCCTTGGTCTGATTTCAATTAATCAGTATTTTTGTTTTCTCATCACTAACCCTGAATGAGAAAATGGAATATAGTTCTTTTTCTGCATAATGCAATTTCCACTGCTTGCTGCTGTTACAGTCAACCCAGAATTTTATTTTCCATCAGTGAGTATAGAATCAGGGACAGAGAAGCAACATACCAGAGAACTACAGGTGTTTAGAGCTCTACAGAACTAAATCTATTTTACACAATTTCTCAAAATTGATTTCTTTTGTACTATTTATGGAAAAAAGAAAATTAGCCACTTTTTCAAAGATAAGCCGCCTTAAAACCTTCAAGCTGTTTCCCATGAAATACATCATAGTAGCACAAAGCTTCATTTAGCCACAGTCCCATCTCATGCCATTAGTGAAAGGATTTTCATAAAGAGGGTTCATATCTCATTGCATGATACAGGAGATGCTCATGGATGAAACTTGCCTGCAGGGTGCTATTCTACTGTTGATACTTAAGATTATTACCCAGTTACCTTCCTCTTCACTTCTTGCACATTTAGACACACTCCAATGCAAACTTACATCCACACACTACTGTTCTACATGCCATTCTCAAAAGAACTCCATGTTTGCCCTGGAGGCCTATCTGAAAGGAATTAATTGCTGGGTTAACAATTAATTCCTTAAAGATTAATTAATTCCTAACACAGTGGAACAGTGTGCACACGTGTATGTGTGAACACTGCTTAAATGTCTCATCCATCAACTGCACTGCTGTACCTATATAAAAATTGTATATATTAAAAGATTACTTATTTCACTATTATCTAACAACAACAAAAGTAATTAATAAAACAAACTACTACTGAGAGCAGCTATCTAGACTCAGCAAGTACCTATCATTACAGAACACTGTAAAGGCATAAAAACGAAGTACTCTAGCAATAAAATGGTTGATAACCTGAAGGCCCGATTCAAAGCCAAATAAAACAAGCTTCTTTTGTTTCATATCACTGACTTATAAGTCCAGTTGCTTTTTAAAAAGTTACTTTGCGGCAGACTCTAAAGCAGGTTTCCATTCTTTGAATAGACTCCTAGAACTGAAGTAACCTGTTATATACTGGGCAAATTCACATGCCACAACAACCCATGCTGGCAAAAAGCCAGGATGGGTTGGTTGCTTTGCTTTGCTCTGTCCCCCACCCTCCCTCCCAAGGGCCACTGCAGCAGGACAGAGTCACCTCTCCCTCCCTGATGGAATCAAACTCAATTTTAGGCTCCCCACAGCATTAACATGTTAATCTTTATTCTATAGAGATTGAAAAAGGAAGCTTAACTGCACCTTGAAAGCCTGACAAAACCTGTGACTGGCAAACATTTGTGCAAAAGGAATATCAGGCCAAATGAAAGAAAAGGATATTGCCATGAAAGGGGATGTAAATCCCAGCACCACCAGTTCCTGAGCAAAAATTTATTTATTTTTTACAATACAGTCCAGGTTGGTGAACAGTATAAGGTAATACAAATAAATAAAAAAATACATTAAAACCATTTATAAACAAAATACCTTTAAGAGCGTGTCCAGTCAGCAAGAAAGTCTTCCCAGAATAAGCTTATCTTTAGCAGAAACAAACAAGCAAGCTCAGGGTTGGTGCCTGCCTAACCTCCCAAGGCTGCCTAACCCACATGGGAGGATTTCTGGGTAGGAGAAACAGGGAAGAAATGGATGGGCCACCCCAGAGCAGCAGTCAATGTGCTTGGGTTATGGTCCGAAAAGAAGCTGCCTGTGATCTCTGCAGAGATCGTAGGCCCACAAAGTCTTCTTTTTCATTCAATTAGTCCTAAAAATCATCTTAAAATTAATTCTCCCTCATTTAATGGTTAAATATACTAATTATGCATATTATATATAAATTGCAAACACTTTATTATACAGAAATTTAACTATTGTGCAGCCCCTGGGTTTTGTGCAGATGTCCTCATGTGGCTCTTGAAGTATGAAAAGTTGGATTGCCCTGGTCTAGATAATAAATATCCTACTGTATGCCTGTAGTTGCTCTTCCACCACTCTCATAATTAGTTTCTGAAAGGGGGGGGGTATATGCTACTGGATGATAGTTATCAAATACCACTGGGTCCAAAGTGTTTTTTTTTTCCAGCACTCATCATGCTACTGCCTCCTTATTGACAACAGGAACCACCCCTTCATGCAAAGATGCATGTACCATTCCCTGGACCCATCCAGTTAGACCTCTTGCCTAGCCTTTATTATTCAGGCAGTTCAAGGGTTGACAGGGCACATGGTCAGTCACACTGTTGTAACCACTTTGTCCACACCATCAGTTTGTAATAACTGAAACTGATCCCACAAAGTTGAGCAGATGGCAGGATCAGAACCTTGAAAGAAGCTGTGCTGACAACACCCTCAACTCGGCTGTGCAGACCAGTAATTCTGTCCTCAAAATAAGATGCAAAAAGTTCACAGTAGGACTTTGAGGGGGACTGCGTCCCACTCACTGGAGAAAATGAGATCAGCCTGTGGACCATCCAGAAGAGCTCATCTGGACAGCTACTCAACAAAGCAATCAAGACAGCACAACAGGCTGATTAAGCTGTGAATTGTGTTTTTCTTCATTTTATTTTTACTTACTTATTTAATCATTGTATGCTACTCTACTCTACATGGTTTACAACACTTTTGAATCTTTTGCCATTCAGACTCTAGATGATTTGCACCCAAGCCTGATTTTATTGACTGAAGCATCAGCCTCTGTGCCAGAAGGGGCACTCAGGTGCAGCTGAATCTACAGCCCTCCACATTACACTGTTCTACAGTGAGATCAGGGCCTCAGCTAGTTCGCCAGCCCTATCTACTGAGAAATCCCGAACAGCATACAGAAATTCACTGAGTTCCATCAGGTTCCTGGGAAACACCATACAAATAGGACCCCCATCCCTGCAGGAGGAAAGCCATGTTGTGATTTCAAAACTCACCAGAAAATGGTCTGAGCAATGGAGTTATTTAGACCCACACACAATTTTTGGACTTCTCATCTCACAACAGAGAGCAAAATTCAAATCAAGGGTTTGTCCTGTTGCATTTGTTGGGCCAATGACAAACCAATCAATGATTTTTTAAATCTAAAAAACTGGTTTTTAATTTAAATCAGATTTTATTTAAATTGGATTTTTTTAAAATTATTTTTTCAAATATTTTTACTTATTTCAGAAAGTACAATTAAAAGGACAAAAATATAAGGAAAAAAAGAAGCCAAGGGCCATTTCAGAGATTTAGCAAGCAACTCCTCATTTAAGCATGTTTACAATAAACAAAAGTCTCTATCAACCACTTTCCCATCCAATTCAGTTGAGCATTCAATTCTCAGTAATATATTTTTCCAGTCTATACAGTTACTTACAGATCATTACATTGTTTTGGTAATGGATAGTAGTCATGAACATTTGTAAAAAATATATTTTCTTTTAACTATTATTTAAATTGTTAATAGTATGCCTTCTACCTTTGAGTAAATTATTTAACTGGCCTTCTGTTGACATAATTAGTTACGCCATTGTTGCATACTCAGCTTGTTTTTCCAATCTTTGACAGCTAGGCCGTCTTCAACTTTCCACTTCGAGGCAATTATCATTCTTGCTGCTCTTATCATATATTTGTACAAGTCTGTCATAACGTTTGGGACAGTCTCTGGGGCAATACTTGGTAACATGTGCTTGGTATTCAATGGAAAGTTAATTTTGAGTATTTTCTGCATCGCAGCATGTATCTGCTTCCTTTTTTTTTATTCTGTTACATGTCCACCACATATGGTAAAATGTCTCATTTATCTCTTTGCATTTCCAGCATTTTCCATTGCACTTCTTGTTCATTTTCTGTAAATCTTTTTGGGTATTATACCACCACTGGTTTAAGTATACATCTTACATGAATTTTCTCTTAGGGCTTGACATGTAGTAAATTTTATGTCCTTCATCCATAAGACTTTCCAGTGGTGGGCTGATATTTCTTCTTAAAGATTCTGCATCCAGTTCTTCATGCATATTTTGTCTTGTTGAGTCTTGGCATCATATTTGAGCAGTTGTTTATAAATATGTCCTAGGAGATGGTCTGTTTTTTAATTATAATTTTAAAATCCATCAAATTTCTTATTATGTTTTTTTCAGTTTGAATTGCCCTTTTTAATCTTTACGCTTGCTAATGATAAAGGAGCAACTCTATATTTTTCTTTAATCTTTTAGTTCTTGCCATGAATTAATTCACCCTTGCTGGTCAACCATGTCTCTATAT